GCAACAGATGGTCGTCTAGCAGTGCGAACGAAAACGAGAAGAACTGCAGTTGACTGACCGTCGAAGGCAATACTTTGGAAGCAGCAGCGAAAGTGGCGACAAACGAAAAGAATAATTCTAATACAAATGCCTTGTGTGCGTTAGCAGAACAGCTAATTCTTATGCATGTATTATGCGAAGCGCAGGCAAACAAAAAATGCAGCAGCTTAAGCGCGAACACGACAGCAATGTATTAGCTATGTTATGTATGCGAGTATGTCGGTATATATTTACATATGTAATAACGACAACGGCGAATTTGATGAGAACAACGAGAGCAAGCAACAAACGAAAACTGCCGACGGTTGGCTGAGATTGACGTGGGGGGGATGCCGTATGTAAAAGTGGCTATGTATATTTATGTATGTATGTATGTATAATAAAATCAAACGACAATAAATTGGCACTTTAAATAATTGCCTATAGCGGTTCACTTTTATTTAATATTAGTACGACATGCGATTTATATTTGTGTTAATTATGCTCAACTATCTACCGTATTATATTATGGTCACGTATGTGCCAAAGGTTGAAAGTTGAAGGCCGAAATAAGCAATTCGCTGGTTAAATTCCACTTTCAAACTTTAGCACAGTACCTGTGAAGTCGACTTTGGCTCAGGAACTTCCCTTTGGTCGACTTGACTTATCCTCCAATAATCCAGTTGACGTGACAGCAACACACACACTCCCCAGTGCAGCAACAACAACACGACCGACGCGGTTCCGCACAAATTAAAGTTTTTAATTTAAAAAAACAAGCAAGTCCCTGCTCGGGCGCCAATGAAAATTTATATTATTTTATATAAATTATTAAAAACAAAGAAAGAATGGGACGCTTGCTTTTAACTTTTTAATGCGGAAAATGCGAACGATTTGGCGACAATTGTGCTTATATTTAGTTCTATTTTACAACTGACTTCAAATTAGGCTTACAAGCTAAACTAAGCCTAAGGCGGCGAAAAAAGGGCGCGAGGCGACGTCCGCAAACGGCCGCTCTCGCGCTCTCTTTTCGCCCTAAACTAAAATTCAAATAATTCTCTTAAACTATCTTAATCTAAAGCAGCATCTGCGCCAACACATTTGTTTCTTACAAAATTGATTGAAAATGAAAATTCAAAAGAAAGACGCCCTGAAGAAGGCACAAAGCATTTATAAACGAAACATTTATAATTGTTTTACATTTATTCAAAGAGTAATAGAACGACCGGCCCGTACCGTGAGCGTTCTTCTCAGCCAGCACCCATCTCTAGTCGGAGCCGCAGACACCCAGTCTGAGGCAGCACGACACGCTTTTGTAATGAAATTAGCATTAATATCGTTGTCGTGCTCATTGAAACAGCCCCGCGCCGCAATCGCTGCCACCATTGTCTTTAGCAGCTCACGGAGTGTCTGAGAAGGCGCACAGCCCAACTGTGCCCAACTTCATTAAAAATCGCTCATACGCCGTGTGTTTGCTGTGCGAGTGAATTTATGACGCATTGCCTTAGGCTGGCGAGGCTTACTTCATGAGCTTGCAAGCTTTTTTGAATGTCCTTTGTATATACTATACATATGTATATATGGGGAAAGAGAGAGAAAGAGTGTCGTAAAAGTCCAATTTCAATTACAATTGCAATGCTGCAAAATGTATCATTTGCCTTTTACGACTTCAAATGCCGCCGGGCCGTTCGTCTATATACACATATATATATGTGCGCTTAATTGCCTTTGCAGTGACTTGTCCGAATCCTCCTTAAGTTGCCCTTTTTTGTTGTTGGCTTAAATAAACACCCAAGTCAGTCAAACACCCTTCAACAGCCTAGCCAACTTTGCGTTCTGTCATTCTCAGTTTATTATTTTTGCTTTAAGACAAAACAAGTTGAATGATTGAACCAAAAAACTTTGACGCAAAAGTTAAACGAAGTTTTTAAAGCTTTCAGCAAAGCAAAGAATATAAAAGGAAGAAATCATGAATAGATGAAAACTTTGCCGCTGCTGACATACTTTTTTAGCAACAGCTAGTTGCAAAATTGTGGAACAAACATAACTTTCAATATTTAAGCGGAAAATTTCAATTGCAGTGCAAACTTGAAGCTTAAAGTTAGCAAACATGGCGGCAGACTTCAGATATTTTGAAGAGATTTTATAAATAGTGGAGGTATACTCTGTACCCAAAGGGTAGAAAAGCAAAAATTATGTAACAGGCAGAAGGAAGCTTCTCCGACCCCATAAAGTATATACATTATTATCAGCATAAATAGACAAATCTAGATATGTCCGTCTATCGGGATGACCGCCTGGATTTAGGAAAACGCTGAGCTCATATTGAATAAACTTTATATGCAGACTCTCCTTATGCCAAGGCAACACCGAGTTTATTTTGTTTTTTATTTTATTTTTCCAATCTTACAACAACAATAAAACATACATTTTATTAACTAGAATATGAGCACTTTTAAGTGGCTAAATACTTACAATATTTGTAAGAATATTTTAGAACTTAGGGACCATTTAGGCATATAAAGCAAGAGTCTACAAATAATTAAATAAAAAAAAGGCATTGTTTAACGTGTCGAATTGTATGGATCTGAGGACATATCTCAACAATCAGGAACTCTCTGTTCTATATTTCATGTTTGTTAAATCAAATTCCTTACATGATTAATTAATTTATTGAATTTTAGATTTAAAGGATGTAGGGTCAAAATTTATTATTTGAGCCGGCAATGCGTAAGCATTTTTTTTCGGAAATATATTAAATTCTTTCCTTAAAAAGGGCCTTTTTAAATCGTAAAGCCTTAAATTGCTCGAAATCAAAAGCTAAGAGCAAGCCAACAAATACTTACTCGTGTATCGTTTTTATATTTGCACCACAAAGTCATTTTTTATGACTGATTCATCATGTTCGGTTGTCAAATAGAGTTTGAAAATATCTACACAAGCATAAATAAACCGTCACAACCATGGAAGCGGAAGTGTGACTTGGACCCCAGCCATACAAAGAGATGTGACCGGAAGTGTTTGGGCCTGGGGCTGGGTCTGGGGCTGGGTCTGGGGCTGGACTGGGCCTGGTGCGTGAGTGTGTGTGTGTGTTTGTGGGGGTCCTATGGTATAACAAAACTTTAAGGCATATTGTCTGACTGCCTCCCCAGTGTGCCTCTGATAGTTTGAGCGGCCTCCGAGCAAATTGCCAATGTAAATGTTGCAAAGACAGACAAGCAGAAACAACAACAACAATGACCCTCAACACAGCTGTATAAACAGCGCCAACAACACACAACAAAGCTGCGCTGTTGACGTCAATAGACAAATACTCACACACACACACACACACACACACATGGAAATGGAGTGTAATTCATGAACACGCAACTCGACTAAAATGCATTTAGCACGCCCTTTCATTTCCTCTGTTCTGTGATGCCCCCTCCATAGCAATCGCCCTCTTTTGTGTAGACAACTCAACCGAATGCAAGCGACCGTGCTGGTTGTTCAAAATGGCCGCAACGGAAGTTTCTGGACGCCATTTGCGTTTTGCAGCTCACACCCGCGTTGCGAATTTGATTTGATTTTATAGCTGTTGTTGGTGTTTGTGAAGTTGCTGTTGCTCTGTTGCTGAGTCTGTTGCAACATTTAGTTGTTCACTTTACTTTGTTTGCGTATTTGTCGCCAGGAAATGAAGCACACAAATCATTAAATGCTCCATTTAGTCGCGGCAATTCCGAATAGGTGAATGCAGGCAAAGATTTACTTAAGCCAGTATTTGGCTTGCAAACAAAGCTCCTTCCGCAATAGTCGCAACTACAGCTGTAAGCTTAAGTCTATTATTCATTCGGTATCATTGCAAGGACATTGCAACTAAAAACCATTTAGTCTACCTTTGCAGGTTAGGGTGGGCATATTAAATACAACCTGACTTAAAACCAGACGAACATAATGCAAATTAATACAAATATAAACATGTATTAATATTATGTGCAATCAATAGTAAAATATGGTTTCTTTAAACTTAATGACAACATTATACATATACCATTCATTATTATTATTATTTGCAACCAAAAGTATGTTATGATTTCTTCAAACTTAAAGAAACAACTAGCTGATTTTAGTTCTTCTACATTTCGAGATAAAATAGCTTATACAGATGGATATGGCTCGACTCATCTAGTTATACTGAAGGTCATAGTTTACCCTAAGAGTATTTATTATTGCTAGAACACGCAAAGTTTATTGATTGGTATAAATGGAAACTTCCCTGCCCGGAAACTATTACAGTTTCAGCAAAATATGCAAACTAGAACTATCCGCGTCTCGAATGAAAATATCCCACTTTTAAGTGTATGCTATTTTGAAATTGAAGAGTGTCGTTGCTATAAATAAAGTAACAGTCCCATTTATTTGTCAAAGAGTTTCTTTGAAATTAAATATATATAGATGTAACGAATATAAAGGCTTTGACATCTAGTCATCACACGTTCACGAATTTGGGTCACACAAATACTTAGAATAAGCCAGCACATATTTCTAATTAAAGGAACACTTGGCTTTGCCTTGTGCAATTATATTAGGTCCTTATATGGGAGAAAGGCGACCTGTCAGGCAGGCAATTCAAAACTCATTGGGCCCACTTTACTCTGACTCAAGTCGAGAAGCACTCTTCATAATCGTGCTTTGTGAGAAAACGCTAACGCCAACGCTGCGTATACCTAATGCCTGTCTAATTAGTGTCTCGTATGGCTTTGCGTTACGCATACGCCACATGAGACAAGGAAACGACTCAAATATGTGATGCATACTTAAAATGTCTTTCACTTTTTCTCTCACTTCACAGCCCCGTAAGTAAATCCAATGCAACAGCAAGCAAAGCGACTGCAGCCGCGACAGTAACAGCAACAGCAACAGCAGCAACAACAAGAACTGCGAATGTGAATAAAACTGCGACGGTGAGAGGAATAGGGAGTGGAACTTGATTGTCGTAGGCGCAAACGCAAAGTAAAAAGCAACGCCTTCACATTGGATTACGCGCAGTTTTACTTTAGACCGGAGCCAATTAGTGGCCAACAGCAACAGCAGCAGCAGCTACAACAGCAGCAACAACTGCAACAGCAACGGCAGCATTTGCAACTGCAACGGCAGCAACAACAGCATCAGCAGCAAGTGTTGCTCGCACAGCAGCAGCAGCAACTGCAGATACAGCAACTGCAACAGCAACTGTTGCTGCAAAGACTTGAGCGCGAGCTGCAGCAGCAACAACAGCAGCAGCAGCTAGCGCAGCAACAGCAGCAGCAGTTCCTATACCATCAGCGCCAATACTACGAGCGCCTGCATTACGGCAGCGGCAGGCATCGCTGGCTGACGAGCAGCACCACCAATCAGTACGCGGCACCACAGCAGCAACAGCAGTATAGTTACTACTTTAGTCGCGGCAGCAGCAGCAGCGGGCTGGGTTTGGGACTGGGTCTGGGCCTGGGTTTCGGTCTGGGCAGCAGCAACCTAGCCAGCTGGTACAGTTTACCCACAACATCGGCCCACATATATATAGGAGGCGGCGGCAGCGGAAGCAGCAGCAGCAATCACAACGGCGTCAACACAAGCCTCGCGCCACATACGGCACTTACCCAAACAGGACTTACACACACGCCACTGGGTCGCAACTACAATTATCGACTGTTGCAGTCGCACGAACCACTCGGCTACGGCGGCAGCAGTAGTGGGGGCGGCTATCCAGCGGCTCTAATCAACTTTGGGCCATCGCCAACGCCACTGATTGGGGCTGCATCGGCAGCCAGTTTTTTGCCAGCACCTTTACCAGCACCTTTGCCACCACCACCGCCGGCGCCAACCGTTGCCGCGGAGCTACAAACTGGCGACCTTGGCGGCTATCGCTACAAGGCCACAAGCAGGTGCCAAAACAACAGCAGCAACAGCACCAACAATCGTAGGTACGACGCCTACGATAATTACGGCTATTTGCCGGGTATTTCCAGCAACACCGAGGACGAGGAGGATCAGGATTTACTTGAAGAGTGCTTGCCGACGGCACTCCTCTCGCTCACTGATTGCGAGAGTCTCGAGGACGTGCGTTTTTTGCACGACACCAACAACAATCACCACAGCAGCAGCAACGTCAACTATAACGATCAAAACTTCACGGACGACGACGTTGAGGCGGAACTTGCGCACATTATTGATTTTCCCGATTATCTGCGCCCTTACAGCAGCAGCAGCGGCGGCGGCGGCAGCAGAAACAGCCACAAGACGCCGCCACAAAACGACTACCAAACGGAGCACGGAGGTGGCAGCAGCGGCGGCGGCAGCGGCGGCAGGGGAGGTGCTGGCGACTCTGCTGGTGAGGGGGCGACGCAACAACAACAACATCAAACAACCCAGGAGCATCGCTACCAACATCACTACCAACAACACCAGCAACAACACCAACAACTGCCCCATCAGTCGCAACAACAGCAGGCCTACCAATCCTATCACTATCCGTCGCACGATAGCTGCGAAGGATTCCACCATCTGCCAAACGAAGCCACCAGCTGCCTGGGTAATCATAGAATGATGGTTAGCAAATTGTGGAATAGCTGCTTTCCGGAATTCATGCCGGACCACGTCCATCGACACAACTTCTATCTGTGTCAGGTGAGCTTCTCTTCCCTTTTCCCAACCATATGCCATCCATTAATCTCCATTTCCACTCATAATCATCAGTGGCAGCGCAATACACAAGTGCGCATTGTCTATCTTTTCTATCGCTGGATAACGGCTATTACCTGCCTGGCCGCCCTCGTGTGCTCCCTACTAGACATAGGCCGCACCGAGGAGCACTTCGAGCATCACTATGCAAAATGGTGGATCTATCTGACGCACTGGGGCCTTCTCTTCTGCACGGTGCAGGCCTGGCTAGCCGCCTGGATTGTCACCCAAGGCATGATGGTGGAGCGCGAGGACTTCGAGATTGTGAGGCAAGCGAAGAAGAGCCGTCTTCATCATCTCTACTGGGTGCTCTACACCTGCGCCACGGTCTATGCCTTTATAGTCACCATGTGCTATTGGCTGCTGGTCCACAATCCAGGTGAGTCATGTGTAAATAGCTATTAATATCATAAGTAAGTAAAATGACAGGAATGACATTTTCTGGACAATCAAAAGCCTATTGTCAACTGCTACTGAACTGAGCGTTTCTACATGTGGACCGTACATACATACATACATACATTTATTCAAAGATTTTGAATTAAGGAAATACTAATTACAACAAATTTAGAAAATACAATGTAGTATTTGCCAGCTCAGTTTAGAAATCTATTCCCCGTTTGCACCACACAGATCTTCTGCAGGCATCCACCTCAATGGTTGATGTGGTGAAACGTGTGGCTAAGCACGTACCGCTTACCGTGCATATGAAATTTATGAAAATCTTGAGCGATGCCTCCAAATATTGACGTCTAGTATATCCAGTACGGCTGGTCCAGTGAACTTTTTGTGAATTATGCATAGCCCAGGGGCCAAAAATAATGAGAATACAACACAAAGGCACATAGAGGTGCATGACTAAGCCAAACAACAGGGCTATAATGGCGCTGACCACCACTGTCATACTCATAAAGATCAGAATCCATAGCTGCGGGGTCAGGGCTTTTGGAACATAGAGACCTAGAAGGGTGTACAAAATCATCACCAATATACCAACCAAAATAAAAGGCCAGGTGAGATCGTGCTCCTCTATTGACAAGCTCACTGCTAGCAACACGAAACCCTCACAGATCATACCAAAAACAATCCAATTAAACGGAGACTTTGACTGCACACGACGGAACCCAAAAAAGGTTAATGCTAGGTTGGCGCAGGCCAGAAGCAACATTAGAACCATAAAGCTGCGATCATTTCGGGACATGTTCGGCCACCAGCGGTAGGTGGTTATTAGGAATTGAAGAGATGCAATAATTCCGAGTAGGGAGACTAGGAAATAGACCCGAATCCTTAAATACCATCGGTACTCATCTGGTGATTCAACTAGCTGTGCTGTTTTAAATCCTACATTTTCTAAATCTTTGAATGGTTCTACCGGCGCAATGGATTCCTCGTCCACTTCATTTTGCGGTGTCTTGATATAATTGATTTCTGGAACAGAACGAGCACGCTGGAGTGTCATGCTAGACATGGAGTCTCTTAGTCTGATAACATATTAAGTTTCTCGCATCGATGGAAATCTACTTATAAGCTTATGGAGTCTCTCAGTCTGATATCATATTAAAGTTGTCGCATCGATGGAAATCTACTTATAGTATAAGCTATTTTTCATTCTATATCAACCAAGCCAAAACTATTTGCAATGATAGTATCCGTTGTAAACATCGGAGCCCGTAAAACAGAATTAAATTTGTTTTAAATAGGAGAAACAATGACTTTTAAGTCGTTGTGTAGCTTTTAAATTTAATTTCTTATCGGTACTGATTGAAAGTTCAGAAACTTTACATTTCATCTTAAGTCTTTCACCGCTACCATCTACCATCGAAAATAAAATATAGGTATCACGGTGGCTGAGGTTAGAACTAAAAACGTTTATATCAATAGTTTATGTGATACTTTTTTCCAGTTAGTTGCGATAACATTATAACTTTTGTATAAATGGATAAAACTTCACATCAATCAAGTTCAATTTCTAGATAGCAATCGACCTTCAAAGCAAGTAATGTAATCGATAGAAATAGTTTTATTTTACAGCACGGATGCGTTTTTAATCCTGTATATTTACAATTAGTTTCGATAACACAAGAATATTTGGGGAAAAGCGAAATAAATGTAAAAGAAATTGAATTTTTAAAAAAATATCAAATTGTCTATTGTATTGACAATTACAATTAGATTTAGCTGGGACAAATCATTAAAGTGTGGCTGCCAAAATATAAACAGGGTAATCTATAGAACAAACTATCAATTTATGTTACAACACTCCATTAGTACTGTTATTCTTTTTTTTATCCAATCAGTTTCGAAATGGGATAAGTAAAAAAAAATTAATATAGAAAAACCTGTCAAAAGTCGAGTAAAATATTAGGATATGAGCAATCCCCCGGAAAGAAATAGCAGAGTGCCGCGAACGCGCCGAAATTTTTACCTGCAATTGTATTTGGGAGCTGGAATATATATTGCACTCACCATAGTGTTGTTAATGCTGATCTACGCGCTGTTCAGTGAAAAGAGCAGCTTCCTTAGCTGCCCTGGCTCCTTGATCTTTATACTGATTGGTCTGTGTATTTTTTGTGTCTATGCCTGGGTGCCTCGGTTGCGTCACAAGTTTCCCATCAACTGGCTGTTTTGTGTGTCCACATTTGTGTTTCTGGCTCTGGGCACAGCTTTCCTGCTGCCGACCATGACTTACAGTCACGTGTTGCTAATTAGTTTGGAAGTATTGGCGTTCATGTGCGGCTTCCTGCTACTAGGCACCTATTTGCCCCCGTACTGTTCGCATAAGCCGTGTATATATCTGAGCATTACAGCGGTGCTGGCCTTCGTTCTTTTCGCGATCATGTTGGTAATAATGTGTTGCATCCCTGACATGGGAGAGTCCCTGCATAACATCTTGGTGCACTTTACACTGTGGTGTGTGATGTGTCCGCTGTTGGTGTTTCAGAGCCTGATACTAAACGGTCATTTGCACAATATTCTGCCCATTTTCGATGTGCCCCTCTGCACGCTGCTGTTATTCATCGACTTTCTGGCCTGCTATGTCGCAATGGACGCGGCCGAGGACATCGACGATGGGTTTGCACAACTTTACGGCAGTCGGCAATTAATACAACGGACCATTGATAGCGGTGTTTTATGAAACTATGTATGTATGTAGCCGAGATCCTAACAAGCGCACTATCAATAAATTTGTTTTAAAAGTGGTGTCTATTCGATTGCGTTTGCCGGTTTATCATGCGATGTCCTTCACAGCGCAAAACGAATCAATTGATGACATCTACGAGTTGTTTGTACATCACTGTGCACCACTTAAACAGATTAATACGACCGAAGCTCTTCACGAATCACTCACGATATTTCAAGTAACATTTTTTAAGAGCGCAATGATAAATTTATGTCTAACTCGAGAAAATCGCGCGTCACTTGAAGTTGGCTGCTCTTCAGCGAATCGTTCTGGCGCAACCAGCTTTGGTCTGAGTGCGAAATTGCGTCGTATGGGGATCTTTCTGTGCAGTTACAGTGTTCACATGGAACTTTTGGAAAGTCTACAAAACTGCATCTCTCCAGCTAAAGGAAAACAATCATAGTGCTGCCAAATATTTAAAGAATTTAAATTCAAATCGAGTATGCTTTTTATAGCTAAAAGAATGTTATAAAACATTTTTTAACTGCATTGCATCATCAGTAAATTCACACCAAGCACGCTTACTCTCAATATGCATTGTGGTTATTGCATTTTGCTGTCAGACTTCATATTTTGCATATTCCAAGTACAATGAGTATCGGAAATTAGTTTGGTTTCAACATGGGACTGCATGTTTGGAAACAACAACAAATGCACGTGACAGTTGGCCGAAACATTTTCGGAAACATTAAATGGACAGCTTAATTGAACCGTCTATCATGGATGGCCTTAGCCAAGACTGTACAAACGTCCATTCACATCGCAGGCTCTTAACTCTTCTCTATTTCCTCTCGCTTTCCCTCAGAAATACACAAAATTGATACGCTAAACATCATGGTGCATGTGCTGAACTCGATTATAATGCTTATCGATTTGGCCGTTGTCGGACATCCGATTAAGATGAGCCACGCCTATTTTACCACTGGCATTGGTCTGGCCTATGCCATATTTACGGGCATTTATTTCTTGGCTGGCGGCACAGACAGGTAAGTGAACCAAAGAGGAAATACTATATACATTCAACATATCTAGTCAAGTGAATATTATGAAATCATTTTAAATTTTCGAACATCCCCCAAGACGAGCTCAATATTGAGCGTCGTCTAAATTGGAGAATAAATTGTAGGAACTAGAGATAAAAATAAGCATTAAACGCAATTATATAAATAAAGTTCATGTTTGAAAAATGTATATAAATAATGATACTGAAAAGAAGCGACGGTCAGACAGGCAAATAATTTGCACACGCATTTAAGTAATTTCAATTTGAAAAGTTGTTTGTTGGTGAAAACTAACTACAAGTATGTACTAAGATATAGAATAGAGTTATTGTGTAATGAAATGATGATTTCGACAAATTTGTATGCAAATTATTTGCCAGCATGACCAGCACATTTCTGTGAAAATCTGACCAAATTGAGCGACAAACCACTTTTTATTGATTGATTGCCTTTGCAGAAAAAACCAAACTGCCATCTATCCGATGATGGACTGGACCAAGCCAGGGAAGGCGATCATTGTGACGGCGTGCGCCATTATTTTCACGTTCTTTGTGCACTTCTGCTGCTATTTGCTGTACCGGGGCCGGGTCTGGCTCTTCACCAAGTTGTGCATACGCGGTCGCCACAATCGGGATGGCGAGATGGGTGAGGGGCTCAACGATGACTCCGGCTCGCGCATGGGTGGCGGTGGCATTGGCGGCTTATCTGCCGGCGGCGGCAGCCAGGAATACTCACATCAGCAGCAGTATCCCATCACCCACACGGAGCAGCCGCGTGCCCAGCTACATCAGCACCAACACCAGCACCAACAACAGCAACAGCAGCAGCAGCAGCAACAACAACAGCATGGTGGGCCCACACCGCCGGGTTACTCCACATCCTATCAGCTGCCGCCGCAGTATTCGGGCTATTTGCAGCAGCCGGTGGTGGCGGGCGTGAATGTGGGCGTGATTAGTGCTGAGGGCGTGTATCAGCCCATTGGCCCGGAGGCTAGCAGTGGACGCACAGGCGGTGGCGGCTCCGATTCTAACTTGCAGAAGAGCACAAAGGGCTCTGCACTGAGCCGCACTGTGGCCCATCTGGATGCGGCACAGCGGGAGCAGTTCCTCAATCCCAATAAAATCGTCGAGTATAAGATGTAAAGGCGTTGCACCCGGCACCGGTATACGTTCCACTTGTCCATGAAGTTTCTGGAGAAGCACTGTGCTCAGTGCGAGGCCGCTCGTCGCGCCAGCAGCGGCGGCAGACGCGAGGAGGAGGAGGAGCAACGCGGCATGCTGAGCACTCCGCACAGTGGTTAGTTTTAGATATTTGCACGGGGGCTAGCATTAGACCCGAATTGCTTCAGCGATCAGCACTATGGTCAGTATTATGGCTCCACTGTAAAAATAGTTTCGTAATTTTGTAAAAGCTTTGCAATCTTTTGTATGTATGTTTAGGTACGTAGGCTGCCTTTCAGATTTTCAGAATAGACAGTTCTCGGGCCTTTAGATCCTTGGTATATACGGAACGCCAAATGAATTTAACAGACAGAGGGATGCCTTTGTGGCATATTTTAAGACATTTCCTATTTCTCTGTTTGCGTTCCTTTTTTTTCGAAAAAGGAAAGGCAGCCCTCGTATATGTTTGTCTTTAGCCGCTTTAATAGAAACTATAGCGCTATAGTTAGAAATCTGCCGTGTTCCAACAACACTATGAAACACTTACAGGAGGATAATAACTTTTAGGCACTTATTGCTGATCCAGCAATAAGAACTTTAAATGTTTTCACGCAATGGATACAAGTGGTCATTAGTATTTAAAACATAAATACAAATATGAATAATTTTAAAGCATAATATGGCAAACGAATTTATTTTGAAACACACATGCATATATTTAATTTCACTTTGTTTATTTGTTATTCCTGAAATTGTTTTTGTGTTCATTTCCACACCCCACTCCGCAAATTCCTAATATATTGTAGCTCATTATTTAGGAGTCCACGCAGCTAATCGATCAACAATACTGCCTCAATGTGTGGCACCTTCAGCACGTTAATTAATAAATTTATCATTTTACTTATCACCCACCCATTTGAGTTTTATTTTTTAATCATTCCCACTTTAATTTGAACAGCTAAATTTTATATATCGGTGCAGGCGTACAACGGGCGCGTGCATTGTGCGCTCGAAGGGTTCAACGCAGTTTTAAAATTCAACACACATTTCCGGTTCACAACATTTTTGCACGCTTCCAGCACACCGTGCACGCGCTACAACAACACATTCGGCAAAAAAAAATATTAAAATGCATCGCCATTGGCCTTGTGGCACTAAACTTGAAGCCATGCTTGAAAAATAAAATATCAAGCGAGACAGGAAGAGCGTCGATAAAGCAGTGCACGTCGGTTAGTGTTGGTTAAGACCGTGTGCAGTCCAATGGCAGTTTAGTGTCGTGGGGCCAGACGCTATGTTTTTAAAGTTAAATATATTTATATATATATACAAGATTATATTAAGGATATGCTTGGCATTGATTTGCTTAGTGTTTAGTAAACAAAAAAATAACATTAACAAAATAAATAGAAACTAATTTGCGTGTATTTTGGGGCAGCCATAAAAAAGAAGCTGCTCTGTTCAGCAATAATGACTATAAAATTTGAAACAAATAAAAAATGAATTGTATTTATGAAATAATACACTAAAAAATGTTACGAAAAAGTGCTCAACAAATTAAATATACACATATATTAACTAAAAGAAGCATTTTAATTTGACAGAAATTATTCAGAGTGGTTGGAAATACTTGTATAGTGGGTAAGGATGGCCCAAACGATTAACCAAATAAAATAATGTTTATTTTCAACATGATGAGCAAAAAGTATAGAGAGAGATCTAAAAACACACTTGTACCACAATGATATGACCTGCAGTTGACCTATAAATGTACGAAATACAAAACATGAACACCAACATATACTTTTAAAGAACAAAAAAAAAAAAAAAAGAAAAGAAAAACCCAAACCAAACAAACTTAGCAGTGATTAGCGTTACAAACATATACAACAAAGACAAGATTATATATATACTACATACAATACGAGTATATAAATATAAATGTAAATAGTTGATTTTTCACATACGTTGAGCAAGCTATCATACTTATAAACTATATTCAAGCGCATGTTGAACAAAGTCAGAGGCAAAGCAAAAATTGATACCGAAATCAAAGAACAGAATCTAATTATACAAGCTACCTATATTTAATGACTAACTGAAAACAAAATGAAAAACAAAAACCGAAATCAAATGCAATGAATAAAACTCGTCAAGAGGAATGTGTTAACAAATGAAAAACAAATAAAATATGGGGGCGAGCAAATAGCAGACCTTACTTACTTGCATATATACATACTTATATAGTATGTACCCGTGCATGCGAGCGTATGTATATGTGTATGTAAAATAAAGTAAATTACCATTAATTTTTGATAGATTTACATAAACAAGCGAAACCACAACAACAACAACCATAGTTGACAACAAAGCACAGGCATGAAAATCGAATAACAATGTTTATAGGAAGCTCACCATTACATAAAGTATATATACTTACATATGTATGTATCGCATGTATAGAATGTATTTCCGCAACGTCTCAGCGGTTTAAGTTGCTTATTTTCTGTTTAAGCTCTTGCTGCCACTTCCAAACTCCACCAAACTATCCAGATACCAAAGATTGAAACACATTTCAAATCTCCTACAAAAGTCTACCAAAGAGAGGCATTAGTTTAAGCAGCAGTTTCAAAACCACAGGCCGCTTAACTGCTTCAAAAATAGATTTTACTCAGAAATACATAAATTAAACTAAATTAAAAAAATTATTATTATTTTTAAATTAATAGTTTAAATTATTATTAGTTTAATAGACAACTTTTTATCTCAATTCGCACATTTAATTTATTCGTTTATAAAATTAGTTTCTCAGCACTTAATCTTCCCTAAATAATCCTTAAGCGATGCGTTTGAAAAACGAATTCTTAATCTAATTCTTGTGCATTATTTTTATTATATCTTTTCTCATCAACACAAATTATTTAGCAGCTTAGCTTTGTTTCCTCGATCATGTTGATTCGAGATAGTCAGTTTAAGCGGTTGATGGCGTTTGCGGGCCTCTTATATGTGTTTAGTGTATGATGAATTGATAATGTTTTTAAATGTTATTTTTAATTTTCGATGGCGTTTTCGATGGCCAATTGTTGACCATTTTTGGTTGCGGTTTTATGGTCGTAGTAGATACTACAAGTATATTGTATTCGCGTAGCGCCTCATCCCACACATTTATAATTTGATAATTGTTTGTCAAGCAATTAGCGTAAATGTATAAATGTATGTTTATATAGACTGAATATTAATTAAAATATATATATATATATATATAAATACATAACAAGAATATCTATACAAAAGGAGTAAAATAAAACTAAATAAATAAATGAACACACAAGTTAAATTCGAATAAATTCAAAAACTCGACTCATACAGCAGCAGCAAAAGAAAAATTATAGTAAGCACATATCAGCGACTAAAGATTTCAAAAAAGGAACCACATTCAACCACAACCTTTCATATTCTAAACACAAGATCGAAGTTTACCTCATCAACAAGTTAAGAGAGAAAACCCCAACACAGATATTATGAAGATATTGAAAAACTAAGCATACATAAATAAAATGAAATTTAATAAACACAACAAATATAATAACAAATATATGCATATATATTTATCAAGAGAACAAGAAGAACAATTCAACATTATATTTTGTAGATTTTTAGAGAATTAGAAAAAGCGTCAACTTGTGCGTATATGTATATCTAGAATACTATGCGAGTATTGTATGTCGGTTCTATAAACTCTCTGATCTGTGCGTGTAAGTATTGAAATGTTTAAGCAACAATTGAGAAATGGCAAAGCTTTAAGAAACTAGAATCGTTGTTGGTCGTGAGCATTATAGAAACTTTTTCACATCAAACTAAATATACTGTACTACTGCCAGTATTGGGGTTGCAAAGCTGTTATATGGTTATATGGTATTATGTACATTAGAGAGTGCAGATAAATTGGAATATTACGATGGCTTTGCAACCCCACCAACTGGCTCAGCTCTAAGCCCAGATTTAGCAGAAGTTGTCTCATTTTACGTAGAATTACCCATGATCTGCTCAAAGTATTAAAAATTAACACACACACTAAATTAAAAACAAGCAAAAGAGAAAAGTTATTTAAAAATGTGCACATCCGTATGAAAAAAGTAAACTTTAACAATTGCACTTACAAAAACAAAGCTCATACAATTTTAAAGTAAATGAATTTTCAAAAAGAAAAAGCAATGAACAACAACAACAACAACAACAAAAACAATGTAATAAATAGGTTTAAAAACTAGTTACTTCGAAAGTATTTCTGCGCATTTATGCAAAACACAAATCCACAAAAATTAATATCGTAAATAACAACAATTGTTCAACAAATTTTCAAATAACAATGAGCAAAAACTTTGTTTATAAGCTATATATTTAAAACAAAACAAAGCACATTAAAACACAGCAAATTTAAAACTGGAACAAACAGAAAACTTACAAAGGTTTAAACAAATGAAAAATTATAAAAAAACTAACAACTATTTAGAAAACTTATAAAAGCGAGACAGCATTTTAAATTAAGTTTAGCAAATGGTAACTAAATGTATTAATTATGTATTATCAGAACACATAAATATACATAAAATGAACTATATATATTTATCAGTATAATTAACTATTATTATGTATTTGAAAGCAGAGCATTGTGAATTAGTATTAATACCAAAAAAAAACAACAACAGCAAAAACCAAAAACAAACAAATGGTGGTAAATAAAGATTGTAAAACAAAAACACAAAACTGTAATCGAAATTATTAAAAAGCTTCAAATTTATTACAAATACGATCTTCTAGATGTAATCGGATCCTAGACTAAGGGATACTCTATAGTGTTGGTTGGGGATTACGTTATTATTAAAATTTCTTGACATGACCCCAGTCTAAGAAATAATCAGTAGTTTTTTAGTCTACGATTACCAGAGAGTTATTTAGAATGTGGTTTTGGGATTGCCCGACCTTTCAGGGGGTCTAAGGTCTATAAAATATTAGCTTTGAATTATGATTTATTAGATTTATTTTATTAAAAGCTTTGGGGTTGCTCGGCATTGTTGAGTTCTTGAGATTATTGTTCAAATTGGTTGATAATATTGAGAACTATCACAAAATACATTAAAAAACTAGAATTTGTATTAAAAAGCTTGAGAGTTCCCCTAACCGGAGAAGGTGGGTGGCTTTATTCATATTGAAGTTTTTGTTCTTTCGCTTACCTTCTTTTCTTTGTAATAAGCCATTAGTACGCGCGACCCCATAGTTCTAGAAACTTTATAAGCCGGTTGATATTGACATCTTTTCTCTACATTCTATTATTTTCTCTTGGTGGAAACCCGATCCGAATACTTTCTCAGCTTTAATGGCAGTCTCAGGTTAAGGAACACTCTCTTTTATATGATCAGGATTTACCCACACGGCAGTGTATATAAACGAACCAGTGAATTAATTATTATTATTTGTATGTATATATATCTTTATTTATTTCACAATAAAATATGTGTATTTGTTAATTATTTTACAAAATCTATCTCCGTTCGTTACAACATACAATTATAATTGATTTCAATTTTAGTTATACATTTAGTTTTATTATATTAAATAATTAGTAACATAATTTGGTTTATTGCGACTTAAACATTAATCAAATACAGGTATACAAAACATGTCGCTTACAAATTAAAATCTTTTTATATTGGTATGGGATTTTACTTCTTTTTTATATTTATTTTAAATTAGATATAATAATCACTTTGTTTTCGTTCACTTTTGTGTAATTTCTTAAATTATACAAATCGCGTAACGAGAGAGAAAGAAACATTATAGCAAACATATTTAAACTTTATATCACGTTTGGGTATTTCAGTTTGTGTGTGCGGCAAAAGAAGGCGTGTCTGTAAGGTGGGCGTGGGAGGGATATAAATACAAATATATTGGTTGACTTTGAAGTGAATAATCGATAGGGGAGAGAGGGATAAATGTACGAGGAGCTTTGCAGCTTAGGAGAGTTTCAAGTACGAAGGCGGCGAACATTTTTTGCGCAAGAATTTAATTATATACAGAGGTAAGCAGGAAACCACCGTGATGAGGGACACCTTCCACAGGAAGTCGTACGACCAAATGAATTCCCAGTCTGTAAAACAAATGACCAGTTAACGAATATTCAAAAGTGTAATCCTTTACGCAGACTCACCAAAATACTCGTGCAGAACAGCAAGCGAGATGAGATAGAGGGCCAAGCTGAATAGCTCTGCTAGCACCATCAGTCTGCAAATAAACAAGTAGTTATTAGTTATATTTCTTAACTTAAAAAAAAAACTACAACTCACCTGTGCCACGTGCGCACGGTTAGGGCCACCATAATCAGTTCAGTTAGAATCAAGGCCGAAAAACTGATGGCCACAATGTGTATAAACTCGTCGACAAATAATATAAGCGCGCCATACATAATGACACCGCCTTGATAAATGCTGACCAGCACCCAAATAAAGAACGTTTTATAGCTGAGACTGCGTCCCTTCGCCAGATCCTTGTACAGCTCCGGATACGTGACAGCCGTCTCTGATGTGATGTCTTGATCCAGTACCAATGAGAACACCGGGAACATGGTGTAAAGCGTTGAATATCCCACCATGAGGAAACCCTGATACAGCGCCACAGAACTCAGATAAAACACGGCCGAGAAGACGGCCTGAAGTGTAGTTATAATGAGACCACGATGTATCACGAACTGTGAGAGCGCCGCAGAACGTTTGTAGCTGCGTCGGCCGTGTATTAAGAGCAGTTTGGAAATGTGCGAAAACTGTGGAATGCTGAAATCGCCGGCCAACGAAGCCTGTCGTCCCTCGCGCCCCTCAATGCCCACACCAGCGTCCGCCTGCTGTATCATGCTCACATCATTGCCACCATCGCCCACAGCACAGGTTCGCTTGCCGGTGTACTTTTGTATGAGCTGCACGACCTGCGCCTTCTGGGTGGGCGAGCAGCGACAGCAAACGACGGCTGGGGAGGCGGTGGCCAGCTCGAGGAACTCGGGTCGATAATACTGCAGACAAACCTCCAACGACTCACCGGATAAGACGAGCGCATTGCCCTGCTTGCGCCGGAACTTATTCAGTTCCTCATGCGCATCCGTGCGCGTCTTTACTGTGCGCAGCACGTGTAGCTCCTGATTGCGACCTATTAGCTGCGACGACTTGGCAATGCAGCAGGCTGTCTCCAGCTTATCGCCAGTGAGCATCCAAACACGCACGCCGGCATTGCGCAGCATCTCGAGGGTGGGGCGAACGCCCTCCTGCAGGCGATCTTCGACGCCAGTGAGACAGAGTAGTTCCATTTCGCGCTCCAGAGATTCGACTATAGATGCGACCTTAGCCACACGATCTGTTATACTCAGACGCGCCGCATTATAGCGCATCTCAAAGTCATTGTACTGCTCCTCTGTCAGCACTTTCTTGGCCACGACCAGCGTACGCAGACCCTCGCGAGCCATGTTCCCAGACTCTTCGCTCAGCCAATCATTGTACTGCACAATGCTGGACATAACGACATCGGCTCCCTTCAAATAGAAAGTTATTTCACCCGACTTTGAGTCCTTGACAATGATGCCCATGCGTTTGCTCTCACTGGTAAAGGGAAACATCTGCAGTATTTGATAGTGCAGCAATATGTCATCTAGAAAAGGAACGGATATGCATTTTAAATAAGCAAATTAGAGTAAAATTGGACTTTAGACTTACTCTCTTCGCAGGCCGTTTTCACCTGCAGCGTCATGGTGTTGATATCTCTAGCGATGAGTGTGAGTCCCACCTGTTCCGTCCATTTTACGAGTGCTATTTCATCGGGAGATGCTGCCTGATATTGATGTTCGGTGGTCGTAGAGCCGGGCGCCTCAATGTTAATCACAGATTTTATGGGCGAGTTGTTGCCGCCGGTTGCCGTCGATGATGTCGAAACGGAGCAATTGTCCTCCTCATCGCTCACTGGCGTGACATTGTGGCATAAGGCCAGCGCCCGCACAGCCTCCCATTCACGCCAGCCCTCCGGACGCCGCATCCGATTGCCCGTAAACATTACGGGCTTGTGAGATTCAGCCGAACTGCTCGATGCCGAGCCACTGCTGCTGTGCTGTTGCGATATGTTTGCCGACAGTTTCTGTATGATCTGTCCAATGTGATGAAAAGTGTCCGCATCGTGCGATACAATGCCCAGATGGATTTTCTTAAAGACCATTTCATTTTGCGTTAGCGTGCCAGTCTTATCTGTCAGCACGTACGAGATGCGACCCAATTCCTCGGGTATTGTTGTGGAACGCACCACAGTGCCATGAATTCCTTTGTCGTTCTGCATTTGCCACGAATAGAAGGCCTTGCCCATGTCGAGATTCACGCGCAGACTAATCGGTATGATGTAGCTGAAGAGCAGCACAAAACGGAACATATAGCGATACCAGGGACCTCCAAAGCCTTTCAGCATCATCATGACAAGCGACAAGCCCAGCACAGCGCCAAAAAGCACCTACACAAAAAATAAGAATTAGTTAAATGATGCGCATAGCATGAGTATGTAAGGGCGACCCACCTTGGTCAGTCCATTGATCTCCATGTCCAACAATCCCACCTTAGAGCGTGGTTGCGAATTGTTCATCACACTGCGCGTCTCACAGCCGGTGTAGATAACAATGCCGGTAGCTGTGCCCGCTGCCACAACAGTGTTGGCCCACAACGTGTTCTCCACATTGAGGCCAGTGTCTTCGCTTCCATCCGTCATGCAGAAGGTGCCAATGAAACTGTGTATATCGATTTGCGGCTTCTCCACATAGAAGCTCGCATCAATGTTATACAGTTCCGCATCTCGACTCAGTTTCTGTGTGAATGGCACCGCCAGACGCAGCTTCCAATCTGTCTCGCCATCCAACTGATCTGTGCGCACAAATACTGAGCCGCCACGATCGCTGGTGCGCAACAGAATCAAGTCTGCCGGCACACGTTCATTCTTCTCCACCACAATGACATCGCCCACCTTTAGCTTGGAGGAGGGCACCAATTCGAAGCCACTGCCATGCCCCGTTTGGGGCGGCACCAAACGCTTGTACTTCTGTGAATTCACCTCGTGATCCCGCTGATGCCGGCGCAAATCATCCACAGCCTCGCGACAAATAGTCACCATCAGGACAAAGCCCAGGGGACCCCAATACGTGTAGGGGTAACCGATACGTATTTCCGGTATGAACTGGGACAGTGCCATCAGCAGGAAGTAGAGATTCAGGAAGAAACGAAACTGCTCGAAGAGAACCAACGGCAGGAACGTGAGGAAATTGTATTTCTGATTACGTATCTCATTTGCCGGGAACTTCTCCGTATTCGGCCGGCCCAGATTAACAGTTCGTGCCCGTAACTCCCGTGGCCGGAACCACCGACGCCAACAGCTGTAAGAGCACAAAAGCAGAACAATATAGTAAGCATAAATCCTCTTTCCAATATATAACAGCATTTGAAATATGGCGGCGGGCATAAAACGAAATGTGCGCCGCAGTCGCCGTTTCATTAAAGTAAATTGCTTATCAACCGTTTTACAAACAGAAACGCAAATCTATCGAACAATATATACAATACAATATACATATGTATGTATACGAGTATACGAGTATTGGATGTTTGCAAAACATACTGAATCTCGCTACGACTTGAATGCAATGAAATATCAAGCAAAGAGCGGGAGGCTTGCTGCATTCAAACTTTTTTCTATCCGGCATTTGAAAGTGAAGATCTTGAACTTGAATGGTCTTCCTCTATTAATGTTACTTAAAATTTTGTCGACAATATTCAATTTGGCATAAAAGAAAGTGTACAAAATATTTCCAATGCTCGAATAAACTGATGTGTACATGTATTATTGGAATTGTTGTGACTTTACAATGACAATCAATTAAAATTTGCCCAAATTTTATTATATTTTTAATATTTGAAACTAATTAGTCCCAGCACTCTAACTGATAACGAAATATATATTATATTTCAATGAAGGTGCGAGATTTGAGTCGAGTTCAAGCTCATTTGCAAGGATCAAGGAACATACTAGTTTGAAAATTTCAATTGACTAGTTGGTCGCTTTTTCTATACTATATATAACAAAAACCGTGTTTAGTTGGTCGCTTCTGTCTATATAAAGCCTGTTTTCAGTTCTACCTTAAGCCCTCAAAGTTAGAATATTATCAAAATGAAACATGGCCAAGTTTCCACACATTAAGAGTGACCTTGGCCTGTTGTTGCTACAGAAGAAGTTAATGGGTGGGAAATTATAATGCAAGTCAGGCGACCTTGCAAATAAATCAATAAAACTCATTTTTAAATTAAAAGCACAGTGAAAAGTTTCGAACACAACAAAAAGTCACGTATCTTTGCCTGAACCAGTGAACGTGCTGATTTGGTTGTTTACTAATTGAAAAGAGTACTCTTTATACATATTTAGGGCCGGCATGGTCGGTCACCAAACACAACCACTTGTTTAATTCTATATTTGTGGGCGTTTGGGAAATCACCGCCGCCGCGTCTTGCTGTGTGGGTTGAGCATGGGTATGTTTGTGTGTGTGTGTGCGGGAGCTGACATTTTGCAATCTGCGATAGTGGGATTTTTTCTTTCATGTGTAATTGATGATTCACCTGAATAAATACCAGCGATTACGCGGACGATTCAATAGTGGAATGTTCTCCCTTGTCATGGGCGTTGCAGACGAGGCCTGCGAAACGCCGTCGTTGTCCATTTTGTTATGTTTTTGGTTGCAAAAAAGTACAACGGGTCGTAGTTTATCGTAACGTAAGCCGAGTTATATATGTATACTCGTATTTTATGAAAGCTGCTGCTGCTTTCCGCTAATTATTGGGGCTGCGCTGGCTATCGCTGCCTTTGTTCTGTTGCGCGTTGTTTGTGCCCTTTTGCTTTCACTAAACTACACGCATTTCGGTCACGTTGCATGGTACACGCGTTTCAGTTCCACAACCTGCAGTTAAAGCAGCTGTTCGAACTGCAATTTTTTCGTTTAATAACAAATTCTTATGCACAAAAAGAGAAAATTCTGTTCGTAAAACTACGCCGTGGTCGTTGCCGTCGTCGTTTGCTGTGCCTAACAACCCTGTTTTGACTGCTGGGAAATCAATAACAATGCCTGAAATGGTGAGTGCGAGCAGGCACGCTCTACTGTTAGCCAAGTCGTGTGACCAAACTTTTTTTTTAAGCAACTATTATTCAACACTGCACTTTTTCATAACAGCTGACAACGCAGAATTTCGCGCGCACAGTCAACGTATTTTCTGCTGACGATCATATTTTGAAGTTAAATAAATAATATTAATCAGCTAGTAGTTGCGGCTGAGAGCAACAAAAAAGTCTCACGCTTACGCTTATTTGTTGTGCATCTGTGCACTCGCTTTTGCCTTTTTTGGAGAGCATTTTGTGTGCTGTTAGGGTTGGTGTTGGCGGTTTGTTTGCTTTGAAAGTGCGCATTAACACTCTAGCTGCTGCTTGTATTTATAATTGTTCACAATAACGTGTTAAGCACTTTTGTCAATCGACCTCAGGAAATATTCTCGACAAAATTACATTCCATTATATGATCTCATAAGAAAAAGTTTTCGAAGCCCGCACATAACAAAAATACCTACGAACATAAAAGAATGGCGCACACAAAAAAAGACGGTAAATGACCATAAAAAATATATATGTATGTGTGTATGTATTAATATAAAAAAGGTTCAATGACATCAGCACTCATCAGCGGAATTTCTGTAAGCTGCTAAAATTGAGAAATGCCTTTCAACGAATTCCACGCGAAAGTTAGCAGCCGGTACAGACAATGAATGAGTGAATAAGCCAAGGTCTTTACATAACCAACCGTATGTCGTTGCTATAGATCGGCACTCTGTTCGACTTATCGTTGGTGAGCCAATCTTAGCTTAATATTTGCTTTACCCAACGTCAACTTCACCTCGTTCAACGTTTGTCTGGGAAAGTGAGTCAACTGCCAGTTGAGGCCAAGCTAAAATGAGTCAATGGCACGCGCCCTGCCCGCCACAGGGCTAATATATAATTGTCAATCACTTGAAACGCTGCCGCAAATATCTCACTGGCAATTTTGCTATAAAGTCTTACGGCATGCCAAAAAGTGGGAAAAATACATACAAGTATGTACATACGAACATACATATATGGCTTTCCTTTAAAGCTGCCTGCCAGTAATTATACAAAGCACGAAACACATGGAAACATTTGGAAAACTCATCGCTGTAACAACAATTATATCACGTTTCAGAATAACAAACGCGTTTCCAGTTGTTTTCGGCTTCAACTTTGTTTTTCAATTGCATTATTGCATTATCGATGTATTGAATGCAAACTGCAATATGTACACAGGAGGACAGCTTTTGTGTGATGACAGTATTTTCAAAAACTCTTCAGACACAGTTGTTGGCATTGTTCAGCCAATATGTGTTCCCAATGTTGATCTATTGATAAGCCATTACAAGCTGGCTGTGTTTGCTCTGAAAACTCCAGTACTCATTGGAATAATTTACGAGGTAAGTATTGTTCCGCTAAATAGTTATTCCTAGAAATATAGTAATTATGTAAATAGTTATAAGCGTTCAAACAACAATCTCACCTACTGTTCTAAGGCTGAACTTCTCGATTTACAAATATTTGCTATTGGTTTTCGCATATTTGTTATTAGCAATAAAAATCATTGCTTTTACTTGTATGGCAGACTAAAGCGACAAATTCTCAGCGTGTTATTGGGTCAGTCAGATCGGTCTATTGCCATACAAGCCCTCGATCGATGTTGGATTTTTAAAAGTTGAGTTGTGTACATATTTTATTTCTGGCCGATTAAGATGTTCTATATAATTTCTGCCAAATATAGATTTTGCCACTGACAGTCCTACAATATAAACGTATGTACATTTTTGTATTTATATTTCCACTTGCTCGATTTTAAAGCATTATTTTGTAAACGTTGGTGAGGGCGCGTATTTTTATTAAAAGACCATTTCGGCCCGCGGAGCATTGGACCGCAAAAAACCGAGCCATGCCCATCTCTGAATCAATCAGCACATCAATTATATCCATTCAAACATATGTAGTAGTAGGTGTATGCATAGCTGGCATTAATTAAGCAAAGCCAAGGCATCATTTAACATTGCAATTAAGCTGCAATTATAATTATATTTTGAGCTGCTCTTAATGTTCTGTATACGTGCAATAAATCCTAATTACACCTTTAGTTTTAATGGAACAATCGGTAGCAATTAGCTTTAAATGCAGCTTCAACGGGGTTTTCTATACACAACACTAACATACTCATTTATTTCGTCGTTTTTATATATTTTATTAGAGATAAAATAAGCAATGCTTTTCTTTTAAATCTTTCTTTCGACGCTAAATAATTAACTAAATATATTTTCAAATGGAACAACAAATGGTGGCGGGTTGGTATTTAGAATTGGACAGTTGATGAAGTTTTCTTGATATTTGTATTTTATCTAGACATATTTATGGGGACTAATCAGAGAACGGTACGTTGGGAAACTGTTGCACCGCAAACAATGGTGAAAAATTGTGAAATGAAAATACTGCGTGCAGGATGGGAAACACATAAATACCGCAAAGTGTCAGACATGACAGAATTTTCTCTTTCTAGACAGCGAAGTGCACGCAAAAGGAATTAATTTCAGTCAAGACCCCATCATCATCAAGACAATGAGCGATTGACGAACTAACCGAATCACTTGGCGACTGCCTGGTATGTGTGTGTGTGTGTGTGTGTGCGTGTGTGTGAGAAGCGCCAGAACGTCTGACGGACCAACTGAGGCGTATAATTTATGCGCCACTTGCCAGCCTGACAGTCAGCCTTCCCAACCAACCTGCACAGACAACCCACTCCAACTAATTTGAAATTTGTGTGTCAACAAGCGAATAAGTCACCCATGTACAGCGGTCGCAAAGTCCAAAGAACCCATCGCTTATAAGTATTAAGACAACTGTAGGACCCCACTCGTTACTCAAAAATTCTACAATTGATTGATGTTTCTTCAAAAACTAGAAACCCCTTATATCAACAAAGGAACCACACCGCAGCAACCCATTTCAAACATTACTTTAAAAGCGGAATTGAGATAAAAGTATGGATTTAGAATATAAATTTTAAATAAACCCAAAAAATACCAAATATAAACGAAAAACTAGTAAATATTAAAAAATATGAATTTCCTGTTTAACCCTTTTGTTTTTCCCAAATTGTTGACTTTTATTATCCGTCCTGATGACCAATAAAATGATGATTAAAATATTATTTCCATTTTGGAATTAAAAAACAAAATAGAATATACAAAAACAAATCCATCAAAATAATTAGAAAGCCATGCATTTTTCGAAACTAAAACCGAAAAATTTGTGCCTTTATTTCTGCCAGCTGCTTCGTAATTTCGGACCACTGTGCGAAGTTTGTGGGTTCGTCTTGGGTGTCGCTCGATTTCTGTGCAAATAAAAGGGCCAAAGATAAGTGCAGCCCACATGGAACCCTAACGGTTCTGTTTCAAGAACTTTTCTATAAATAGGTCGCGGGTGCAAAGGGCGCCAACTAATGTGCGTATGTTGGCGGACTTGCCACCAGTTTTGGCTATTAACCCACTTGGCCAAAGGTAAAACAATGTCGTCCCCTAGATGCGGGCGTTCGTAGCGCAAAAACTGTTTACATTGTGGTAGCAACAACGACAACAACAACAACATAAACAACAAAGTTAAATAGCAACTGGAAAATAATAACATTAGGCGCTGCCATCGACGCGACTGCTTTGCATGCGGCACGGAAAATGTGGCAAAATAAAGGGGAAAAAATGTCGGTGACGGTGAAAATCGTGCCGCAGACTGTCGCCAATTGCCAACTGGCATATTTAATACAATTGTGTGTGCGGGGGGTGTATGTTTATGGGTTACAGTGTGCGGTTCATTTCGTACCACAAGAGAAAAATCCATAAACGGTCAAAGTCAAATTGTTACACTTTTTGCCCCCAGCAACATACTTTGATGGATTTTTAAATAAATTTTTAAAAACCACAAATGATTAAATGTCTGCGAATTAAAGAGCGTTCGATTACAAATAAAATGAATCAAAATCATGAATAAGCTACTAAGACTGCGATTATTTGAATTTATTGATTTATTAATAATATTGTTAGCAATGATGTCAACAAGGACTTTATGAAAGAAAACTTATGAAGATTCTTCTATACCTTCTTTTATAATATTCTAGAACACATCGATAGCTTTGTACCTCAAATACTATTCATATTTCTAAATATGAAATGCTGTCATTGAGCGAAACAAATTAAATAGATTTTATCTATCTTAGTTTTTTTTTCAATTAACCTTTAAGTTATTTAGATTTATTGATTTTTTAAATATTTAAGTTAACTTCAACGTTAATTCCATTCGAAACTCGTTTCAACTTTCACATCAATTTAGCAACAAAGAAAAATCAAAGTAGAATATTTCAGCCATATACAAATACAAATGTTTAGAAATGTTTACACAATATATATGTATGTATGCGTATGCATGAACAAAAGTATAACCATATGTCGACAATATGCCAAATGTTTCTCATTATAATCAAAAGCAAACACAATACAAAAAGCTAAGCTCAAGGTGACAAAAACAAAACAAAAATAATTACTCTGCGCTATCAGCGGTGCTTAATTTAAAATCTAATAGCAGTAACTGGAACATATGCGCACAATTATGGAGTTCTATGGGTGCGTGTGTACCAGAGAGTTGGGGCTTACTGAAAATAAGGAAACACTCGTGGCAACTGTTGTTTGTTCCATAACGATGGTTGCAGCTAACAGAACACAGCCGGCATAGCGCCTCGCGCTTTGCAATTCTAATCGCTCGTCGAAATCTTTGAGCCTCATATAACAGCGCAATCGGAGGTGAGCGTCAGAGTTGGAGAAAGAGGGGGGAAGGGAGTGGAGAGACCACAAAATGTTTTTTTGTTTTCTTTGAACAACATAAAACCTTCAACAACACAAAAAAAAGAAAAACAAAAGCCTAACAATTTCGAAATCAGACGCTTTTGAGAGGCTTTTGGCACTCATGGCCAACAATTGAAGAGAAGAGCTAATAAGAGACCTTTTTGGCCATGGCTTAAGACGCAGCCGCGCTCAAGAGTTGAAGTAAGCAGGCATCAAACAATAAAGTGCTTTACAGATCGTTGACGTTTTAATTAAGTCAGTACTTAGCTAAATAATGATGTAAGAACTAGATATCCTGTCTATCAAGGTTTCCAAATGCGTTTAATTGTGCGGAATTGGCAATACCCAGTATATAAATAGATTCTTTTAATTCAAACTGATTAATTAAATGTGTCGCTATATTTAAATTGTCGTCAAAATTTGAGCATTACATATATCTTATAGCTGCCAAAGAAACTATTTGCGCTGCAAGGTCATTTTTAGTTGAAGAATTATGAAAGAGGGGACGGGTAGAAGGTACCAGTAACGGTCTATTTAGCTACAAAATTATTTACAAAATTTAATCAACCTTTCGTTCATGTTAAAAGTTTTGCAATTTGTCTTTTAAACTAAGTACACAAATATATTTTAAATGTCTGCTTATGCCATATGCTTTTTTCTGCGCGTCGAATATTAAACTTAACAACGAAACGTGTGTGCGAGAATTATTTCAAATATTCAATATCTTGCATAGTTAAGTGAATCCAGCTGAGTTAATTTAATTAATTAAAATGTATAGTAATTGTGTTCTTTGCTGCTTTGAGAAGTATTTTAATTAGGCAATAACCTTTAGTTCAAGTTGCTATTAAACGCCCGTACTTTGAAGCCTGGTTTAATGATTTAACACAAGAGACGTGGTTTATTTTTAAAACTGTCTGTATATGCGAATACAATTAACAGAAATTTTTCAGCAAACAAAGATCTAGCCAGAAGACTGAAGCAGTTTTATTGCTCTTCCGTCGAACTTGTTTTGGTTTCATTTTTGCCAACTCGTAGCTTTTATAGCAACAGATGCAACAACAAATACATTGAAAGCAACGTTTAAGAAAGAAAACATTTCGAAACGCCAAATAAAAACGAAAAACAAAAACAACTAAAATTGCAAAGGCCGACAAAAATTTGTGTGGTCTTTTGTTGTTGCGCATGAAACGCTTCCAAGAAACATTTTGTTCGCGTTTGTGTTTTGAAATGTGAGTAAAAATATATGTCTAGCCTCTACTTATACATATATGTAAGTGTACACATAAATATATAGATATATATGAGTACATATATGCGCCTACATTCAGTCAGTCGGTCTGATATATTTTTAATTTGCTTAATTAGAAAGAAGAAAATGGAATGGAAAAATGGAAGGTAAAGAAAGAAGCTGACGAGAACACTGACTGCCTGACTGACTAAATAAATAAATACCAACCATATAGGAAATCGATAAAAACGTATACAGTACACAGTTCGGGAGGAGTTAGATTTCAGCAATATGGAAAATTTTCACAGACATACTACTCGTACGCTAAACAATAGCAATAGCAAAAAGTTGTATGTGCTAACTTGGATGACAAAAAATTGCCCAATAGACGAAACATTTCTCACACCGCCGCACATTTTCCCAGTGTCTGTCTGCTATCTGCCTAATTGTAGTGCCCTCAAGTCCCCCGTAACTCTGTCAAACGTCTAAATTTGCATATGTAATCGATTTTTGCCGTGCGACTCCCACAACATGACACGAAACAGAGTCGTCGTCCGTTGCTTAGAAGTGGTCAACAAACAGCAAACCAGGGAGAAACCAGTTTTGACTCGAGACCTCTTCGCGGCTCGTTTAGATATTGTTTGTTTTCAAGGTTCCCATATACTCAAAAACAAGTTGTGCTCATGAAGACAGTCCTCTACACTTCTATGTTAAGTACAGCTGTTGCTATTTGTGCCAAAGAAAAAAAACAAAAATTGAAAGTTTTGTGCTCGCTCATTGCTTATCAGATGGGGGTCAACAAGAGTAGAAGACCGCAAAACACTATACAGAAATAATGTACATATATACAAACTTATTTTCATAACATGTTGAATTCACGATTCGTCCATACAATTTTTATCCAGAATCGTCCGAAATACATTTATGTGCGTGCGTAAATTCTTTCAAAATTTGAGATATGCTCTCAGAATTCGCCTACAAAATGGAGATTTTAGGCATTGAGCGTACAAAAAAAAATGCGTTAACAAAGATTGATTACATTGTTGATTGATCAAGTCGGCTTAGCATATTTCCAACTAAATGCTAATCAATCCATCCCGATACTTTCTACAAGTATAAATGACAGTTATTGCACTGTTTGGAACCACATTTACACACAGCAGCGACTTTTGGCACACTTTTGAATGATTTATGATGTTATGAAAATTATGGCAACATAGTATAGAATTTCTACTAATAGACATTACGAATAAAGGACAACTAGCGCCATAAAAACGTATCACATACATGTTTGTAATTCACTTTTCACTCACGCCAATCACACAATTACCGGCTGTTGTATTAAATTATAGCAACTGAAAACACATAACTTGTTGCTTTGAAATGATATTTGAAGTTGCTATAACAATTATAGCATTTCATGATAGTCGGAAGATATTCAATAGAAGGGCGTCCCATCAAATTTCCCACACACAAGTCACAAAACTGCGAATGTTTCCCTCTTGCACATAAAGCGCGCAATATAAACGGGTTGGTATACAAATAAGACTTGCCATAAACATTTATGGCATCACATTCTCACACACATTTTGCCGGTGAATGATCTCGCCAGGTTCTGTCACTCACCTGCACAAACACATTTTGAACACATTGCCGATGCTGCGACTTTTACTGCGTCGCCGATTATTCTGATAGAAGACGGTGGTTGCCCCATTTTCGGGATCGGATACGGTTAGGACGCTCGGATTGGCACCATTTACGCCCGCATTGCCAATATCGGACAGTGCATCGGCGCCAATGGCGATACCTGCAACGCCGCCCGTTTGCGTTAGTTGCGCCAGTTTGCCCGTAATATTGGTCGAGTTAATGTCTCGCACTGCACTGCCGTTATTGCTGTTCGAATATTTCGCGCGCTCGCGACTTCGCTCATTTCTATAACGTATCTGGCCGGAGGCAGAGCCAAGACTGTGGCCAAAGAGATTGCCCAGAAAGCCACCGCCACTGCTGCTGCCGCCACCGCTGCTGATACCGCCGACGCCTCCGTAACCAGTTGAGCTTTTGCGACGTCGTCTTTGCTTGTTGTTGTTGCTACTGTTGCTGGAGCCAATGACGACGCTGCCGCCGCCGACGCCGCTGCCAACAACATTCTCACTGCCACCGCCAGTGTGGCGTATGAGTAATTCCGTTTCAGAGTCTGTTTCATCGCTCTCTTCGTCGAAATCGCGCAACGGCAACTCGTTATCAGCCATCGCGAAGAAAGAGAGAGATGGTGTGGGAGAGAGTGCTCTTTATGCCTGCTGAGGTGTTGCAGTTTATACAGGTGTGCCTGCCTGTGTTGATGTTTGTTGGCTCCTGCTCTTCGCTACGCTCTTCTTGTCTTGATTTTGCAATATGCCTATATTTGATTTTAATTTATGCCTAGCAGTTTTGTTTAGCAGTCGATGTCGCTGCTTTTCCAATAATATCTGCGACTATGAACTATTTTTATACGCCATATTTATTTTATGGTTAGATCTATATATCTGCACACACCTGGCGATCTCTCTTTGTATAGCAATTCTTATTTTTTCGAACACACCGTGACGCTTTGCCACGTTTTCATCAAACTGCCACTACCTCTGACTAATGCACTTATAACTGCTGTAAATATTTAAGTTGAGCACTTTCTTGAGCTGTTTATTTGAATTTATTTAAACACGAGTGTGGGTGTGTGTCGGTGTTGGCCAAGCAAAACGTGCTGCCTAACTTGCGCCGTTCTTATCAGGCTTTTATTGCCAACTTCTGGTTACTTTTGTAATAAATATTTATGCACACATAGTAAATTCTACCAACACTTTTATTTATAGCGCTAATTGCAGCATAACACCAACAACACACGCTACGGGCGTACATATGTACATCGTTCTCAATTGATAGAGCAGCATCTGTTATTATTTAATTGAGTATCATGCCGGCTCGGCTGCCACTTAGCTATGAGCACAAGCAACAACGACAACAATTCGACGCTTTAAGTTTAATTAATGAAAACTCTAGGCTGCAAAACAAATACCAATGCAGCGCACAAAACACTCGCGTCATCAATGCTCACATTTTGTTTTTAAACACATCACACACAATTTAGTGCTACTTTTTGTTTAAACATTTTATAATACTTTAATGTTGTTTACAGGCCTTTTTAAGCAATAGTTTTGTCAATTTGTTAACACATTTTACGTTTTCCCGGGAGCGACATGGCAAAAACAACAAGCCAATTGGCACACAGCTGAGCTGGCGTAGTGTTGCAAAGCTCTAAAAATTTAACAAGGACGTGATGGACCATTCGAACCGAACGTAGTGTTGAGTACAAGCAATTAAAATAGATTTGTTCGATGTTTTTACATTTTTATTATTATTGTTTTTGTTGTAACCTAATTGTTTAGAAAAAATCCCTACTTGGAATTTACAGAGACCATTATAGAATAAACTCGCACAGATGCACACAATAAACCACTTTGTTCTCGCCTAAGCACAAATATTGTTTTGGCCTATAATTTAAAAATACAAACACAAAATGTTAAAAGTAATGCATACAATTCTTACCAAGCGTATTGATAAACAAGTATCTTGCTAAAATGCAGCAGGAAACATTAGGATGGGTGGGGAAGAAAGTGTAATTGTAACGAAATAGCTGCGCGAACTGCTATTTAAAGAAAACTATATAAATATATGTATCTCGATATATGTAAGTTTTGAGGAGCATATAATATTAATATTGCGATACAATTCGCGCAGCCATTAAAGTGTATAAATATAGTGGGACAACAGACAGAAATGACTACATAACTAAATCAAATTTACAATTTCATAATTTTAACTGCGCTCGGTCTGCAACGCAATGTTAGAGTCCGAATTGGAATAATTCTGTTCCAATATGGGTCGGTAATCATCATCTTCATTATCCGAATAGGAGCCCACAGAGCGACATATGCTGTAATAAGAAAAAACGTTTCTTATTACTAACAGGTACATAAGTTCTATGAATTATAAGAATTATTCAATTCAATAAAAAAATTGTCTTCTTCCTGAGCCTATAATTTTTATGGACGACTTATTCTTCCATTAAAATTTTCTATCCTAAGAAACTAAAATGCCATCATCTATTGAATTGGAATCTATCTTAGCAGAGATATAATTAATGCGTTTTATAATGTACAACTAAATGCAAAAAAACAATGTAAAAAGCTCACCGTTGCGTTGACGCATAACCATCAATGGAAAGCGTTTGACTCACTCCCACAGGCAACAACTGGAGGAGGGCCTCTTTCGCCGTTGTCGATATGGCCGCATGATTCATATCGACAGATGAATTCGATTCCGACAGCTGTTGGTTAGGCGGGGCAGTCGACAGGCCATTGACATGCGGCAGAGAATTCAGCGACCCTTTCATCGACGGACTATCCAACTGGTCCGCCGGCGCTGCTGTGTCTATTCGCTGACTCCGCTCAATTTCCCGCATTGTTCGGAAGAGCTCTAGTAGATTAGCCAATGTATTGCGAATATCACAACGCCCAGTGATATCGAAGCAAATTTGGGCCACATTTTGTTTCAGCAAATAGATGGCCTTCTTCGTTTGTTGAGAGGGCAGAATAGAGCGTGTGTAGAGTGGAAATCTGGGGAGAAGCAAAATATATAAATGTGAGTTTAACTGAATAGCAATACTCTCTACAATAAGAGTGCAAATCTTGGCAACCAAAAGCTTACTCTCTTGAAGTATAGGTCAGTTCCTTAATTTCATCGACAATGCGAGTTCGGGATGGTTCGTATACAATAGGATTGCGAAGCGGCCTGTCCATAATGATGGCCAACATCTGCACCAAATGGGCGACATAACCGAGTGCTGCACTAACCGCCAGCGGTGATACATTCTCGAGCATCTGGGCGTTGGAGATATGTCGGGTGTCGCTCGCATATTGTTCCATGTGTGGAAATGCTATGCCACAAATACTCAGCTGTTCCGCACCCAGGCGCTGTATGTTGTAGATCTCCTGCAGCTCCAGGACCAATGTGGATATTCGTCGTTCCATCTGTCGGTTGATTTCACGCTTTTCATCGCGTTGTAATCGTTGTTGCTGCAATCGCGTGCTTAGCTCCACACGTTGCTGCTCCAGCTCTAGACGCTGCGCTTCCAACCGCTGTTGCAGTGTGGCACGAACCTCCCGCAGCTCCTGGAGGTGTTGCTGTTTCTGTTCGTTACGTTGCCGAAATGTCTCGTGTTCTGTTTGAAGCAATCGGTGCTTGCAGCGCAGCGTCTCAATCTGCTGCGTTAGATGCTGCGCACTGTAGAGTGTCTGAGGTGCAATCTCCAGATGCTCGGAAAGTAGCACACTCAGCTTTCGACCCATGGAATGGTATAGATTATTGGCATATGGTGAGCCTGACAGCGAAGTGGTGCGCGGCTTGTAGCGCAGCTCATTGCGGGTGATACAGTGGACACTTAGACGTGAGATTTCGGTGCTTATCTCACCGGAGTCACGCAGCTTCTGTCGTTGTGAGCGCTGAAGACGTTGCAGCTTCAGCAATTGCTCCAGATTGTAGCTTCGACGCACATCTTGGGCATTGCAACTCAGCTGCATGTAACGTGTGGTGGTCATACGCATTAGTTCTCGCTCGGATTGACCCAATACCGGACTCGAACTTCGACTGACCTGGGGCGAGTTGATGCTGTTATCGCCAGAGACGCAAGCTGAACTGGCTTTGTTGCTTAACAAATTGCTGGCAGTCTTGCTTTGATAGTGCCAACGCAACTGCTCCTGCAATCCCTGAGCGCTGATCATTTCTGGCGAGGTAAAAAGCTCGCCATTCAGCTGGAATATTAAACAGTTAGGGTGACACTTGGACAGCGTTAGCGGCGCCAGAGGTATTAGACCGGATAAGTAGACGCCCCAGCAAAAGAGCAGCTCCGGTGGGCGTGGCAACGTATGTGGCGTCAGACAAACTTTGTCCAGACGCTGCGACAAGGCACTGTTTTTGAAGCAAATAAATAAATGAAATATAATGCTGGTTGAATGCTGCAGCTTTGAATACGCACCATTGTGGTTCCGCTGTCGCAACTCCTGCCCTTCTCTTTACCATTTCCCCCTCAGTCTCACTTGACGTGCGAGGCCATCGCTTTGAGGTCTGATAGCGAGCCCACACCTTCACACAAACACATTGCGCGTTCGATTTCCGCCACTCATCACCCGCACAGATCTCCGCCCACTTTTGCTGTTGGTGGCGTTGCGGCAGTGCTTCGCTGGTGTAGAACGCCTCACTAGCCTTATCTGTGTGCAGCGTGTAGTAGATGAGCATCTCTCTTTCATCGTCGCCATCGGCATCACAATTTCCGCTTGAGCTCGGACTGCAGTTGGAGGACTGGATATTCAGTCCTTGTATATATTGTAGATTGCGTAGCCGGAGCTGTTGCGTCGCCAGGGGCAACCATTCGCGGCATCGCGGTCGCAAATTCATAACGGCACGGCAACGCAAACGTGCATTGTACACTATTAATTGTTCTAATTTTTGCAAACTAATTTTTTTTACCAAACTCTCAAGCACAACAGCTGTTTATCACAATACGCTGTTCTTACCAACACTGGTCGGCCTTGCCAAGAAGATGACTGTTATAAAACTTGGAAATGCTGCCAGACAGTGGAAAAAGCAAATGTCCGCAATATTGTAACTGCAAAAAAAAAAAACAATCACAAGAGTCAGTTTCACGTCTCGCGCAAAAAGCAGCTTGCCTGTTGCAAGGTTTTTACCATAAAATTTAATAGTTGGATTGTAGTTCACTCGATTCATTACAGATGCTTAACTACATTAAGGAGACAATAATGGCGCCGTCCACACGCAGCAGCAGCAGCAACAACGCGAATGCCAACAAAAGCGCTGAACAAGCTGAGCAAAAATTCGGCGCGGACTCTCCAATGCCAATGCGGGGCTACAAAATTACAGATAACGAACGGACCCGAAAGTATGGCATTGGTGCAAATTCCCTTAAAATGTTGCTCGCTAAAACGCAGCTTAAATTTCCGGTAAGTTTCCCACATTTCAACAAATTGCGTCTTTCCTTGCTGCCTACACACTCGGACTCTCACCCACACGCATGACCCTCCTTTCAAGGCCAATGTCCCTGGTTGTCCTTACACAGTTGTCTTCCGCAATGTTGTTGTTATCCTTTTGGCTTTGGCTCAATGTCAGCTGCCATGCGCATGCCCGGAACCCCATAACAAAAAAGGCGACCTGTTGCTTATCATGATTGAAATATTTTGAAGGACAGTGAACCTGACTCATGCCGAAATAGTTGCCATGACATACTAGGTCAGGGGTTTACTTATCCTATAATTTTTTTCGTTTATAGTTGGAGGATCTGCACATTTACTTGGCCTCCGATGGCTTTGAGGTATCCGATGACGAATATTTAAATAGTTTGCCAGCACAGACGCTTTTCATTGCCAGTGGTCCTGATGCGGTCATAACAACAGGTGAATTGAAGGTTTAAGTTTAAAGCATCTTTAATAACCTATATTTATTTGATAGACGCTGATTTTGAATTTGATAAGTTACGACGGGACTCACCACTGCTTAAGGTAGCCGATATTTTTTATGATTTTATTGAACAGCATCCGGAGAAGTTCCGTCGCATGATTACGGACTATGAGTTGCAGAAACAGCGTCGCGCATTGGACAACACCAAAGCGCACTTAAGCATGAAGAATGAGCATTTGGAGTGGTTTGAGGGTGGTGAGGAGCGGTTTCATTCCAAGGAAGAGGCCATGGCCATGCGTGCGCAGACACGTGTACGTGGTTATTACTACAAAGCCAAGGACGAGCTGACACGCACACAACTTTACAGGCAAGATGCCAAGGCGCGCCAGATAATTAACTCGGTGCTGGAGCAGTTTCGTTATCTGCTCATTGGCTGCGACTATTTCTCTATGATATTCAATCGGAAGTGTCAGCAAAAGCATGAATTTCTGAACCATCTGCTAAACAAGGAGGAGCCCGACGCTGTCAGTGTGCCCAACAAACGATTGCGGCAGATCATTAAGGACTACACTGTACGCCATCAGATACTAGATGAATGGTCGGTTTCGCTGTGCACGAATCTCGGCGATTTCTACTGTCAGGGCGCGTACTCCGACAATGGCAACAATTGTGCCCTGCAACACACCATCAATCCGTATGCTTCACGTGAGAATCTTATTTTGTTTCAAGTCTGGAACTTGGACCATCAAATTGAACTTTCGCGCACAATTCTGCCTGCATTGGTGGCTAATGTTCGTGAGTTAATCACGCAGCCGCAGAAAAAGTGTGCATTGCACAAGAAGCGCGTCATCGACATATCTGTATTGGAATATTTCCTGGAAATTTTCTCGCTCAAGAACCTTAAGCTCGTGCACATTGTATGCCATGAAAAAGTGCAACGAACCAATCGCTCAAATGGTCGTTTGGTTTGCGCTGATTGCCATGAATATCGTATCGTTCAAGAGCTCATGGAAGTAGAGCGGGCAAACGAACTAACTTAGGATGGTGAGTTCAAGTGAAAAATTAAAAATGTACTTAGCAAGCAATATTTATATTAAAACCATATACAATTATAGATATATATTAATATATATTAGAGAATTTATGCTTTTTTGGTAGCTGCTTTAACGAAATTATTCGAAATATTGAAGCCTAGCTCAAGCAAGCTGTACCTAAAACTGCTCTCAAAACGTGTTAACTATGATATGAACTGTACAAAATATCTCAAAGTTAACTAAAAAAACTATTGTTGAAATATTAACAGATATGTATGTTTATAAGTATTTAGAAAATGGTAACATATACGCATTTAAAAAGTTATGATATTAAGACAACTATTAGAGTTATACAAAGTGTTATGCCAGTTGCATACTTTATAAACAATTTAAACATTGTTAGCTGTAGCGCCTTTAGTCATGAGTTTGAATCAGTCTGTTAATGTTACCTGATTCATAAAAGTCCATTTTATGTGCAAATACCTATTATTCAGAACAGGGAATCATAACCATTTACATATGTTAGTAACAACCAAAATGGAATTATTACGGTTAAGCTCTGGGAGAGACACAATCAAGGATCTCAAACCCTGTCAAGTTTATAGTAAATATTAATTTCCTGCATAACCAGAAGCATCTTTATGATGTCTAGCTCTGATATCCTGATAAAATTCAGCCTAAAAATGAAAAGAAAGATTAGACTTACTGGCTATTCTTAGCTTGTCAATTGATTTACTTTCCCATGAAATTGCATATAATCATTTCTAGTCTACACTGAACCCTCATTTTCGTTTCAATTACGTATATTTACCCTTTTACTCAAAGCAGTAGGGCGATTTTAACAAATATTGGTAATTGCTTTATTGATCTAAGATCTACGCAATTGTTTCCTCACATATAATAACATTTCTGTTTACTTTTGAACGTAAAAAGCCAATTATTGTTATGCAAACCTTTCGAACACCATTTAGATGTATGAGCTTAGGTCTCATCGTTTCAAAGATTGACGATTTTCCCGCAAAGAAAACAGGATGAGTGCAGAAAGTTTAATTATTGAGAATCCACTCGTCTCTTGGGAGCTCTGTCTTCCGAAACAAATTGGTGTTTGATTCCCTGAATTCAAATGAGAACTATACCTATACAAATTATGCGAAACTAATATATATACGATACATAGATGTTATTGCTATTCTTACCTCTTGTATACTTCATATACCCTAAAGAATTTCAATACTTCAATTTCGGTTTCCCTTGAACAAAACCTTTTCCTTAAACAATAAACAATCTCAGCTTTTAAAAGCATTGCATCTCTAAATCTAAGATTTGGTCTCAATGCCAAAGCTCAATTTTATGACGTATGTGTTTTAGACTTTTGTTTTCCATGCTCTAAGAGTATATATATAAACTAATGTACCTATTGTGTTATTTTATAAATAAAAGTATTATTAATCACTGATATATTTATTCATACATTTGAATATAGCTTTACTTTAATGGGGGGGCTTCGAGTTCATTCTACTTAAGAGAGAAGTGTATGCGCAAATGCGAATGCCTTCTAATCACAACAAATAACCTTCATTTTTATCATCTCAGTCATACTAAAACCTACATACATTTGTTTACATTTAATTTATTTAAAATGTTAACTAACTATGTTATTTGTTGGTGCAGAAAGGCATTGTGAATTCCAATCGCGAATTAGGGGAAATGGGTGTCTAGAGTTTATTTCTTTAAATTTAAATCTTTAATTAAAGTGCCTTCTAAGCGTTACTTTTTAAATGTTTTATTCAAATTAAAAGCATTTTTGATTTTCACATTAGATTTTCTTTGTAAACTTAAATGTATATTTAAAACTAAGCTTTTCTTTCCCAATTTTCCAGTCATATTAAAAGACTCATTGCTTTTTTTATATTTTGTTTATTTACTTAAAAAGTTTACTGCATAAAAAATTATACAACGCAAAAAACATACATAAATAGATATAAAATAATAATAATAGTCAAAAAGAATTGATAACATGTTCGTATGCATACGAGTGCCATCTATATGTTTTATAAAGTATAAATAATAATGTTGAGAATGATAAGAACCGAAAATGTGTTGTTAAAAATCAAAGGGTTAGGAAACTTTAAAGATATCTTCTGCTGCCGGGTTTTTTTTTATAGGCACAATACACAAAGATTTCTTCAAATATCAAACAATTATTGTAATTAGTCGTTTTTATGTGCGCTTTCGTATTATCCGGATATATAACATGCCTAGTCGATTAGCTACCACACAATGGGCTAAGTCTTAACCCATTGTAGCCATTGTTTGTCTGTTTTTACTGTTTTCTAGTTTCGTTTCGTCGTTACCTCTTGGCACCTGCTAATTTTCTTGTGTAACATTTTTACAGCTTAAAAATTATGGTTAGTAAAGTTTCGCATTTATTTTCATCTTTTCGCATTATAAATAGTTGCTATAGTTGAGTTCGTGGGGGGGTTAGAAGTTTTAGTGCTGCTACCAAACCGCGCTTAACAATTTATAAAAAAACAATTCCTTTCAGCTCCATGCTAAGTTAGTTTATAGAAATTTTACTAGAAACTATTACTGCAAAGCCCGTTCCCATGCTATATAGTATAGATTGAGGCGATCCTAAAGTTGAATGATACTTAAACTAGAGAGATAAGTTATATCGTTTTCTTGCTGCAGATTTAAGTATTTCTTCTCTTTTGCTATAATTAATTTCTATGGCTTTGAGAAATAATTATAGATCCGATTGTCCAGGTCCTGTAAAAGAGCAAACCAAAACTTTGATTATGAAAATGATCAAAATACTTAACAGCGTACACATATAAAGCTAAATTGTGGATAACTTAAGGTCTTTGCTCGTGACGAATGCTATTTTCAGGGTAAACAAAGCTATAGACCAGACGATAACATATACAGAAATATTGAAATAATTTGAAAAGAAAAAAGCAGCAACAAATAAAAATTGCAGCAAGCCAGGCAGGCAGGCAGGCAGGCACGACAGCCAAAACGATTCCGAGAGAAAACTTCACCTTTTGTTTGTTGTTTTGATTTGTTTGAATTTTGTTGAAAACTTTCATAAAATGCCATTATTTGCATTTGTTTTGTCTGAACATTTTAGGAAAAAAGCCATTCATACTCATTAAAGTTAACGATTAATTTTGGTTAAAAATATAAATGTATATATTTTTAAATGTGTGCAAAAAAACAAGTTAATGGAGTAGAGTATAAGAAAAGAAACATTGAATACTTAATAATGTATTGTAACTTGAATGAATGGTTAATGTTACGAACGACTTTTTCATTTTATTGTACAGCTATTGTTGTTGTTGTTTGTTTGTTTGTTTTTATAGGTATTTATTGCTTTATTCGATTAACTAATGCATAAAATCTTCATTCGTTGATCAATAAGGTGGAGTTTGCTCTCCAAATTACGTAAAGCAAAAGAAATTAAAACATTAACGGGTTTAACAATAATAATAAAAAGCATCGAGGGATCAAATAACTACAACAGTGGCATAAAATATTTGCGATAAGACATTTCATTATTTGTATAATAATAAAAAATATTAGTTATTTAGAATTCAATTGTTAAACACTACAGTTTTCTCCTATGTTTTTAGTTTTCATTCTTTTCGTGGTTAATTGGGATAAATTATTAAAATACAAACCTGATTAATTGATGATTATTTTTTCATTAAAAAAGTAAACAAAGGTGGAAGGGAGTGATGATATTTTGTACAAGTGCTTAATAATAAATGTAACTATCGCAAATATTTTATTTCAAAACTAAATATTAAATATACGGCACAAGAAATAAAAAATTGAAATAGCAGCAAAAATTAAAAAAAGAAGTAAATTATAAAAGTACATATAGAGGAATAGAGGAAAAATTCGGAATATAATGAAAACATTACAGAAATTAGTTGAATTTTTGATAAAAAATTTGAATTTTAGGTACCTTAGGATTTTGAACGAGTTTTACAATATCATTGAGATGATGAAATTGTTTTTATTGTGGCAGTTTGGTAATTATTGGTTTTCGGTTTTTATTATGTTTGCTCGAGAATGTTGAAATAGTTGGTTTTTATTATTATTTTTGAAAAATGACTGGCGAAGATTTAACGCTTTACTGAGGTAACGAACGAACCAACGAATGAACGATTTTTACTTGATTTGGTTTTGGTTTGATTTGTCAGATATTTTGTTTATTTACATTATTTATTAGATATGTATTTAGTTTATTAATATTCTGAGTGATTTAAAATGTACAGTGAGTTCAATGAAAAATGCAATTTCTGGCCATCCTTCTCAAGGGAAGGAGCAAAGGGCAGTGACTGTTATATGGTTGTGAACCACGCTAAATGCAATGTCGCCCATTCAAACTACAAGTACTACTAAAGACTATAAGAGACCCGCCCCTATGTACAAACAGCCAACGCTAATCCTATTACCTCCCACTCAGAGTTTGCGCCAACTGCTCACTGACTTTTCCCGTGACTGTCGAAAGCATTCGGGGCTTTTGCTGCCCCTACTGCTAACGATTTCCGGTGACTCTGTTACACGCGACAGGTCCCGGTTAATAGTCTTAGAGCTCAACACTCGGGGGCAGCGCGCAGTCCAGGGGCTGCGGCGAGCATCCTGTAGCGTACGGAATGCCTTGGAGGGCACAATTTCTTCGGCGCCTGTGGCATCAGACCAACTGTTGTAATAGTCAGCATATTCTTTGTCCTGTTTCGGTGTTATCGCCGGAGTGCTGTCTCCGGAGGTGTTATCCAATGAGTCCATTTCCTCAACTAGAGCACGCTTGGCCGCTGCTTGCAAGCGTTCCATCGGAAGGTTGCGCAAATGTGTGCTGTCGTTTTTCAAGAGCAGGCTCTGGACCAGCTCATTGACCAACTTATCGCTCACAACCCGCTGATTGTGAGGCTGGCCCATAATGGGCGAGGCTGGACTATTTGGGGTCGAGGGGTTGTCCGCATCAATGCTTGTATTCTTGCGCAACGGCAGTGAGAGACGTTCCCGGCGCTGTGTCATGGTCTCTGCATCGGCCAGAGCATTGGGGTTCTGACGACGTGTGATGGACACATTATGCACAATTTTGCGTCTGCTGGGCTTGAATTGGAACTCATCTGGCTGGCTGACTTCTCCCTCGGGTATGTCGTTCTCGTCCTGCAAGAGTTTAAAAAGTCTGGAATGTGTGGCGGCGCGTTGGTAGCTCGTCATTTTGCGCAGCTCGGGGAAGCTTTCGGACTCAGTGTCTGTCTCCGACAACTGTCTGTTCATATCCGTAACGCCAGAGTCGTCCTCTTCGATCTCTGATTCCGAACGCTGCGTGCTACTATTGCGTGAGAGAGTGCCTTTGCAGCTCTCCACCGAAAGCGAATGGGTGGAAAAGCCCTTTCCCTTGGGTGGCAAAGCTATAGTTGTTGTGGGATTGCTATTTGTAGTGGTAGTATCTGAGGTCGTTTCAAAGACATTAATGCGCTCACGCACCGAAATTTTAGGAGCTACTTCAGTGTTTACTTCGAGATCGGGCAGTCCATTTGGTAGACGCTTCGACTGTGGCTTTGGCTGTGGTTCTACATAAACCTGGGGTAGTGGACGCTCGATATTGGTGGGCGTGGCAGAGGCACGTTCCTCCTCTTGATCAGCAGGGAATGGCTTATGCTCTTCAACTACTGCTCCATCTTCACCAATTATCACATATCCACCAGGTGGACCCAAATCAAATTCTGCTGAGTCATCTGTGTTATGTGGAGTTTCGGTTTCTTCTGGTATAACGCTTCCACTTTGAGTGGTCTTTTCAATAGGCTTGTATGGCTCTGTCGCCTGTTGTTCTTTATGCTCATCAATGGAAGTGCTAAAGAAAGCCATAGCTTTGCGATAATTGTGTCGTTTCTGTTCGGCTTCTTCCACCTCCTCCCTGTTAACTCGGTCCTGTTCAATATCAGCCCAAAAGTCGGGCTCATCTTCGTCGTTATTGGCTGTTGACTCAACTGTTGGTGTGTAGGGCATCCAGGTGTGCACTGTTGCTGGCTCATGCATGGAGGCTAAAGACATAGTGTTATCGCGATTTAGAGTCGTCTCAGTGCTGGGACACTCTTCCAGCTCTTGAGTAGGAATTTCTTCCTTATCATCGACCACTTCTTCATGTTCCAATTCATCGTACTGCTCTGCTAAGACGTTTTCTTCTTCAATGATCGGATCAACTATTTGTGGTTCTTCGCCACGAGCAGCCTCTAGAGTGGCCCACACATCAATTTCGACAGCAGGCTCATCAGGCAGCTTGGCGCGAAAAGCTTTGGTTTCCACGGGCTTATAGGGAGTCTCCTCCACCGAGCTTTGTCGCTCCTTGCGTGCCCAGAATGTGGCCGATTTGTGGAAGGTCACATCATCATCGTCGTTCTTGCGATTTGCTTCAATTTCAGCCCAGAAATCAATTTCCTCATCGGTATCAACTTCACGTGGTTCCTCCGGGTATTTAGTGGGATCGAATTGGAACTCTGGTACATTATTACTCTCACTGTTGTCATTGGTGGGTTTGATATCCGCCCAGAAATCGATATCCTCATCATCTTGCTCATGCTGCTCTAAGGGCTGTTCATGTTGATTTTCCTGGTTTTCTTGGAAATCTTGTTCCTGACGGGGAAAATAATTTCTGCTGGAATTAGCAGTTTTTTCTTGTTCAATCGAGGCCCAGAAATCTTCCTCCTCTTCCTCGTCTTCTTCTTCTGCTTCCTGAACTATTGTATCTGCCTTTGGAGTCTGTTCCTCTACAAAACTAATCACAGCATTTTGTGCATGCGGCATGACGTCAATTTTTGGTTTAAGTGTAGAAACACAATGATCTATTATCTTTATATTCTCCCGTTGCAATGGGGTGTATGTAACTGTTTTCTTTTTCTTAGTCCATTGCATCTCTTCCTCGTTTTTTTCTAAGTGTGACCAGAAATCTGTTTCCCCTTCTGGCTCTGCTGACTCGGTTTGTGGCTCTGGCTCCTTTGCAGCTGCTTCAAAAGTGGACCAGAAGCTGTTCTTGGCTGCTTCTAGGGACGCCTTTGTTTTAGTCATGTCGCACGATTTCGGTCTAGGCCTTTGTTGTGCATCACTGGGTTTGCTTCTCAAAATGGGCGAATCCGTAGCATTCTTTTCTGCTACTGGCTCCACAGGCTTACTGGCAGGTACTTTCCAAAAATTCTTTGACTGCTCCATCATTTTTTGTGCTTGCATTTTGGTAGCCATTAGTGTGGCGAAGAAATCGAACTCTTCCTTGGGTTCTGCTTCTGTAGTCACTTTTGTATCCACTTCATTCACATCCTCAACTAAGGCAATGTTATTTGTCACTTCTCCAGTTTTGGTCTCGCCCAAAAATTTATTGCGCATTCCTAATGAGAAGGATGCTGAGACATCTTCGTTGCTCACCACAGGTGTAGCAATATCCTGTACAGAGCTGGGCTTAGCCTGCAGATCCAACGAATTGGAACGCGATGAATTGGACAGACTAATAGTCACGCTAACTTCACAGTCATTGTCTCCATCCTCTGGCTCAGACTCGCTGTCTACCTTGGCTATGCTGAAGGAGCAACGTTTTTTATCTAGGCTGATACTATTTCGTTTTTCTTCCAATTGTGTTGTGTTGCCTACCTCCACAGTGGCAATATTCTCATCATTTGAGCTGCGACTGAAGGAGAAACGTAATGGCAGCCGTACAGTGACCGAATTAGACTCATCATCGTCATCATCATTACCATCTGCATTGTCGTTCTCTTCAATTTGCTTGTCCAGCTCGTCAATGTGACGGTCTCCGATGGTAGCATCGCTGACGTTTGACCCATCTCGTTTGATAACTGTTTTGGCGTACTCACTACTACGTTCTAATTCACTTTCTTCCTCGTAGATAACACTCAAATCTTCTTCGACCATATAGTCGTCTATTTCTTCAACTAATCCTTCCTCTTCGGCAACCTCCTCGTCAAAGATTTCGCTCTCTCCGTCCGCAGTGGTCACATCATCCTCGTCGCTATCACTGTCACTATCACTTTCCGATTCCAATTCTTCCAGTTGCTTGCCTAGACCCTTATAGATCTGAACATTGGTGACTGACTTGATTGCTTGTAGCGGGGCTGGACGACTTGGTGCATGCTTCGGTGTGACCTCGTCATCACTGCTATCGTCCACAGAGCTGTCATCGTCTTCCAGTTTCTTGTCTACTTGTACCGGGGATGCATTTTCACTAGACGACCGGTCTCCCAGCTTTTTTGACTGCTCGCCAGCATAGTTCTTCTGTAGTTGCTTTGATAGGTTTGCTTGGGTGTTTCCACCTGAGATCTTATTAATGCTCGCTAATCGCTGATTCAGTACGTCCATAACCTCCTGCCTATTGTTGCATATGTTGCGATTCTTTGGCCGGGAAGAAACCTCTTCTATCTCAACCGAGTGCGCACGTTTGGGTGGCTCACGGGGCTCCACTTTGATATGATGCTGCATAATGATCTGCGACGGCACATCATCGGTGCTAGGTGTGATTATAATATCTGGTAGTACGCTGCTAGCGCGACTCTCAGTAGAACTCTGACTATAACTGGGTGCTACAGGGTAGGGATATGCCCCATACGGTGGGGGAAAGCTGGGATAACTCACTGTTGGCTGTTGGCCCTCTCCTGTGGTCGGTGCTTGACCGTAAGGGGGTGGGGGTGGATAGTAGGGATAGTAATAGGGATAGGGTGGATAAACGTCCGTCTGTTTGCCGTCCGTTGAAGGGGGTGGTGGCGGTGGATAGGGATAAGGATAAGGCCAATTCAATATATGAGGAGGCATTGGCGGAGGAACGCACGGCGATTCCCCATTAACCTGACCCGCTGAATTTGTCGCTACAGCAGGAGGTGGAGGCATGTACCAGGGATAAGGATAGCCATAGGGATAAGGGAATTGCGGCGGCACCGACTGCGACCGCGGAGGCTGTGGCGGACAAGAACTGTCCGAACTAAGTGATGAATTGGATGAGTGTGTGTCTTGAGATATGCTTGTGTTCGTGCTAGGCGGCGGTGTGGGTGTGGATGTGGATGTGGGTGTGTAACTATGACGTTTTTTAGAATCACTGTTAATTTCTTTGTTGTGCTTGTTATTATTGTTATTTCGATTATTTTCATTATTATAATTATTATTATCACTATTATTTGTGGTTTCGTTCAATTCTAGTTTATCCAAATCCGAGTCCAGCTCGGTGTGAATTTTATGTTCTGAGGTCGGTTTGGTGCACAGTTATCAAAAATAAAAAGAAGAAGAGAAATAGAGACGGTGAGTGTGCATTATGATCATTACACCAATAATTTTGATTGATTGAAATGACAAGCAGGCTATATACAAGAATGTCTGCAGAGTGATTGATTGATTGAATTATTATATGTGTTTCTTAACTAGGTATTTATACGAGTATATATAAAATGTACATGGGAGAAAAACAGTTCCCCCTCCAATGTGAAGGGTCGTCGATTGTTTAGAGGGTCAGCAACATGCAATGACTCTTCACTCAATCACAATGAATGGGATTGTCGGTTTTTCTCACTTGTTTGACTTTGAACAATCGGGTGTTTTCAACTAAACAAAAATTAATGTGTTTATTTATTAGATATTTTGTGCAAAATCAAAAATGCTATTCAATTAAGTTGCAAAAAGGTGAAATCTCTCTAAAAAAAAGAAGGAAAATCAAAAACCAAAAACGTTAAATTACACTGAGAAAAGAACTTGGTGCATTCATCAATATACATACATACATATATATAGAGATGTATATATGTGTGTGTGTGTGCTTGGATATGGTTCTTTGTATGTGTGTGTGTGTGAGTTGTTAGTGATGCTTGATGACTTCAAGTATATATACAGTTTGGCCCTAGACCCAGGCTAGGCCTCGATGATGATCGTGTTGAAAGATAAATATTAAGAAACCCATTTCCTCATAATAACACCTTTGCCGCATACAAATTATGGCCACAACTGTACTTACCGGCATTTTCCGGTGTGGTCATTGCCTGTAAAATTTTGAATGATCGACTGGGTATAGCGCTACCGGTATATTTTTTCGGTTCCGGTGCTTGTTGTTCACTGGGTGGGATATATTGTTGTTGCTGTTGTGGTGTGTCTGCAGGGAATGAATATTTGAAATAATTAATTCAAAAATTAACATGATGCGACAGTTTTTAGGGCGCTCTCAAGCATCCTTAAATTGGAATAAGAATTATCCATCTAGTTCTCGGTCAATTTTGGAGCTTATCCAGCTCTCAACGATCTGGCCGATCTGAAGCTTGTACGTTTTTTTTGGAAACTACTTGTATTTCTTTACAACATTGATGTCTCAAGTAATTATCTCTAAATTCGTACAATAATTTGAAGATCGGAAGGTCGTGTTTCTTCTCTCCGATTTTTGCAAATAATAATTTGAGCTTTCCGACTTTCATAGCTTTTGTTACTCTCCCCAAATTTCGCACCAAATACCAATATAATCTCGCGTTTTGTTAAAAATCATTTTAGTTCTCCCTTTCCTAATTTCGATTGAATGTCAATTACTCGTATTGGTGTGCTGCTTACCATATATGGAGCGTTGTTGTGTATAACGATTTTGCGTACCAACGCCATTACCTGTAAGAGGAAAATGATTCAATTAATAAATACCGGGCTTATCTATCTAGTTGGTATACTTGTAGCACTAAATTAGTTTCAGTATTGATTACTTCTTAGTTACTTATTACTATGCTGCCAATGCCAGGTAAAATTTTATTCTCAACCAGATGCAACGATCGTTTGCTTCAGTACAAGACACAAGAAGCGCGTTAGTTATCAAAGAATGGTCCCAAAAGGCTTATAGCTGTAAGCGCTGTATTAGTAATACCCATAAGAGGTTAGACTGTGGGGAGGTGTGTAGATAATGGATGGAAGCAGGAAAAATCGATAGCCTAAAGACTGGATAGAGGAGTTCGGACCCACGATGATACTCTGCTGCACGTACTTTCGCAACACCTTGCCATCTTACCATTACTTAAGTTCTCTTCAGCATCACCGCTGCTACAAGGGGATGGGAAAGGACCAATCAAAAGCTCACCTTGCTGCGACCATACCACTGGCGGCGAACTCGTAACCGTCTGCTGATCCTGTGATATTTGCATGCGTCGCATTTGCTCAATGGTCGGACTATTGCGTGCCTGTTGGGCGCTCATCTGACGCGCGAACTGGGGGCGCTGTAATTGCGCTGGCTGATCTTCAAGTTTGGGGGTCTCTGGCTTGGCATTGCCAACGCCAACATCGTCTACTGTATCGGTTATCTTTTGTAAAATTCTAAACGATTTCGATTGTATGGGTGGTGAGCGTGGATCGCTGTAAGAAGATATAGCGTATGTTAGGTTAGGTTGTTGTTGGTTAGCATGTTCTATAAAATGTCGAAACCAAATTACAACAATTTTGTGCGAACGAAACGCTTTGGTTAGATTTCATTGTTTAGATGATTATTTTACATCAAGTGCCATATTTATTATGTTTTCTCAAATTGTACGAAATTTTGCTCATGTCTGTGATTACTTTTTATGTTTTTTTTTGCTTAATCAGATGTGAGATCTGAGATGAGATCATATATCGTACTTATTTAATCGACTGGAGATGAAAATGTGAAAATGAAATCACAAGAGTGTTATGCAAACTGAACACTTTTATTCACAAAACTTTACAACACTGATAAGTACAGTTGACTAAACTAGCGGGCGTCTGCTGTCGGCATCTGTACTACCTGAGTCGATTCTTTCTGTAGCGTATTTCCGCTTCGAGCGGGCATTGATGCACATACAAATTGTAATTGCCACTACAAAGACGTTAATTTTAGTTGTTATAGAGAGAGAAGCACAAAATTAATATGCATTAGTGCTGGGCCATTGCTTACTGATTAAGTTGTAGTGTTGGAAAAGCACAGATAAGTAACAAAAAGCTTCGCCTTCTAAACATATCCATATCCTGTACTTACTTTTGTAGTACCACCGGCGACTGCGAAACAGGTCCACCTCGTCCTCCCTCTATCGAAATGGGTATAGTGCGTGTATTGTTGTTGTTGGTGTTGTTGACCAGCTGTTGTTGTTGTTGTGTGGGCGATATTACGCGCTGAATGCTCGGTTCGCGCCACTGTGCGAGCGACTGTGTGGATGCTGGATAGTTGTTATAACCTTGATCGACAAATTGATTAGCTGAGCGTATTATGTGACCAGCAGGTGCTTTCGTAGGAAAGAAAGAGTATACATAGACACAGATATATGATATAGAGTAAGAAAGTTACGATTGGACGTGAGCATTCGGGAACGAGAACGAGATAACATTTGGATTCGGAACAACGGGGCAGTAGAGAGTGGCGTGCAGGGGGATTTTCTTTTGGGTGGGCACTAACTACGGGTTGTATAAGTAATTTGGGTGATTTAGTAACTAACACCAAGCTGTTGTGAAGAGGCTTAACACTAGATTTTAGAAAGCAGCACACACAAATTTCATTTAACATTTAAAGCATTTACAATTGGCACAACATTTGAACTTACCACCAAAGTTGGGCTGCGCAGCGGCATAGGTGGGCGTTTGCTCCAATGTAATTGGTATAATGCGCTCCTGAAAATAAACGGCAATAGTGTTGGTTAACGAAGACTTATTTCAGTTTTTTCTAGAAGTTATGGATTGAGTTGGAAATGTTTCTAATTAGATGGTCATATTTGAGGATGGATTCAGAACACAAATCTATCAACTCTTTGGGAAACCGGACACAACAAGCTAAGCCCATATTGATTGGGTATACTGATTAGGTGTACTACGCCTATGAGTATTCTTCTCTCAATGAAAAACTTACCCGGGGACCACTTTGATTCACAATGTTGGTGGCTGCCACATTGGCATTCGTATTTATCTGCAAACGCAGACCGCTAGGTTGTGCGTTTGATCCAAAGTTTTGCTGGCTCGGTGCTTGTCCAAAGCCATTACCCTGGACGAGTTGGGGCTGATAGTATGGAGTCGACTGTGGCGCCGGCGGTTGCTGTTGCTGCTGAGAAATAACAGCCTGTGGTGCTGGTGTTGTCTGCCGCAAACTTGAGGGCAATACGTTGCCATTCTCTTCGGCACGGGCCCAGGGCGCCTGCTCCTTGCTCGCTGGCTGAGAGCTGAGCCAACGGAGTGGTTGACCACCCTGCTGTTGTTGTTGTTGCTGTTGTGGCTGCTGCTGTGGCAATTGGCGCATCGGCGAATCACGTGCCACTTGCTGAACAATGCGCTGGGCCTGCGGCTCCGTCGGCTGCGCCAATGGCGCTATGTACAAGGAACCAATATTGCTCTGTAAAAAGGGAATATTACGGGCAAAGATTAGTCCGTCCATCTGCCTCAAGTTCAAAATTCGTGTTTGGCCTTTGCCGCTGCCAATTTTAGCGTCAAATCGTTTCAGCTCTGCACTTGTGGAATGCGTTCAATGTTCATCGGGCAGGCAGGCAGGCAGGCTGGCTGGCTGGCTGCTTGTGCAGTGCAGCTCTTGGCTGCGATTTAAAAATAAAACAAAATGCTTCCGCGAAAGTTCTAGCATCTAGAATTTGACATGAATAGTAGTGCGATAAATTTTTAATTTAGAGAACAGGCAGAGAACATACAACAACAAGCTGGGGTTCGATATGCAAATAAATTTGCGGAATAAAATGTAACGGCTTCTTCTATTGAAATTATTAATCCTATACAACAATATAGTTTTCTGTTTAAACAAATAGTGTTGCTTTTAAAAAACGTTAAAACGTTTGCCAATTTCTATTCGGATTTCGTTCGGAATATGTAAAATATATTTTACTTTTTGATAAAAATATTAAAAAGCAGCAGATTCTGATATCTGAACTCGATTAAATTATTCGTTTTGAAAAGTTTTTAAGGTATTCTTCTCTGTTCTGCACTTTTGAAAACGAATAAATGAATCAATTTTCACATTTTAAAACGATTGTTTATCGTATGATTTTCTTAGGAATTTTATAAAGTATTTTACTTTTTGATAAAAATATTAAAAAGCAGCAGATTCTGATATCTGAACTCGATTAAATTATTCGGTTTGAAAAGTTTTAATGTTATTCTTCTTCTGTTCTGCACTTTTGAAAACGAATAAATGAATCAATTTTCACATTTTAAAACGATTGTTTATCGTATGATTTTCTTAGGAATTTTATAAAGTATTTTACTTTTTGATAAAAATATTAAAAATCAGCAGATTCTGATATCTGAACTCGATTAAATTATTCGGTTTGAAAAGATTTTCTGCACTTTTGAAAACGAACAAATGAATCAATTTTGACATTTTAAAATGATTGTTTATCGTATGATTTTCTTAGGAATTTTATAAAGTATTTCACTTTCGAATAAAAATAAAAAAAAGCAGCATTCTGATTTCTGAATTATTCGATTTGAAACGTTGTTAAGGTGTTGTTCTACTTCTGTTCTACACTTTTGAAAACGAATAAATGAATCAATTTTCAGATCTTAAGACGTTTGCCAATTCCTATTCAAATTTTGGCCGGAATACGTAAAATATAATTGTTTACTGTATTATTTTCTTAGGGATTTTATAAAGTATTTTACTTTCGGATAAAAATATTAAAAAGCAGCAGATTCTGATATCTGAACTCGATTAAATTATTCAGTTTGAAAAGTTTTTCTGCACTTTTGAAAACGAATAAATGGTTCAAATTTTCGGATATTCAAACGTTTACTAATTTCTATCCCGGTATATGTAAAATATATATAATTTTCTTTGAGATTTTAGAAAATGTTGGATAAATTATTTACCCCTGGGCCCATAGTTCCACTCACCGGTTTCGGAGCCTGATACTGTTGCTGTGGTGGTGGTGCTGTTTCTGTTCTGGCTGGGCTGAATACATCGCGAGATCGTTGCTGCTGCTGCACATTATTGAAAATAGGCTGCGGATGCGTTGGCTGCGGCTGCTGCTGTTGTTGTTGTTGTTGTGGCTGTGCAGGAGTGACAGCTCGTTGGGTGCGCCAAGGCACAGTCTGTACTGGTGCTGGCGATGGTGCCTGTTGTGGTGGCTGTGGTTGGGCCAGTGGTGAAATGGCTGTGGGTGGACGTTGGCTTGGCGATTGCTGTTGCTGCGCTGGCTGCTGTTGTTGTTGTTGCTGCTGCTGCTGCTGGACATAGCGGAAAGGACTTTTGGTCGCGCGTTGTTGTTGTTGTTGTTGCTCGAAGGGAGAGTGCGGGGCTTCCGCCGGACGTGTGTAAACATTGACTGCGGGGGACTGTGGCATTGGCACGCTGCGGAATTCTTGCCGTGGCTGCTGCGGTGGTGTTGCCGGTGGTGTGGGCTGCTGTTGCTGCAATGGTGGTGTCTTGGGTGAGGGCAACTGGTATTGTTGTTGCTGTTGCTGCTGCTGCTGGGCTGTGGGTGTGTAGGGCGTGTAGCTGTTGTTGTTATTGTTGTAGCTGTTGAAGTTGCCATTGTTGTAGTTGTTGCTGTCGAAACTCTGTGGCGTGGCCGGTTGTGTGTTCAATGTGGGCGTGGCATTTGCACGCTTGAAGGCTAAATGGAATAAGCATAGAGGAATCACTTAGTCGGTCTACAAGTATATATAGGAATTAACGATTTGCCAGTATTAAGTGCCGTTAGTGGGAAATAAACCAATATGCCACCAATGTATTTGGGTTAGTTTTAATGTTGTTTAAAGCACCATATGACCGCTTAGTAATTGCCGGCGAGTGATGAGACGAGAGCCAAGAACTGTACCAAGAGAACTGTACGGGTTAGAGTCCCAAAAAAGCGCTGCCTACACGTCTAATCACGATTGCAAGAAATCATCTCTTTACAAAGTATTGAAGAGTTTGCTTATAAATATTTTGTACACACATAGAAAACCCTTTACCTTGTGCTTGAAATAATGTTAGTATTGTATTTATTTATCTTGCAATCGAAATTAGTCGCTTCAACAGCGCTTTACAAATTCCAAGCAAAAACAACGACCGAGTGAATGTCCAAATGTGTTCCTTCTGCTCACCATCAACGGCATCAATGCTGTTGCTGTTACTGCTGTTGTTGTTGCTGTAATCATTGTTGCCATTGTAGGAGGCGCTTGGGGGAGCCGCCACCGGAACCGCGGCTTCCGGATTGGGGCTCTTCGAACGCTCCTTGACATACTCATCCTTCCAGAAGGTGTTCTTCTCCACCGGTGGTGGCACTTTGCGCAGCGCAGCCATCGGATTGGGTGGTATTTTGATTTCTGGCCGGAAACCCAGCGGTGGCGGCTCAAAACGCTGCGGGGTGGGTGACTTGCGTGCGGTGGCCGGCGAACCGGGCGCACTGACGCGACCCGATGGCGGCGCTAATGTGCTTTGTGGGGGTGGCGGTGGGGGTGCAGCAACATTGTTGCCATTTGTGGGCTTCTTACCGGCCTGTCCCTGTCCCTGTCCCAGTCCCGGCTGTGGTGGCGGTGGTGGTGGCGGCAGCACCTGAAAGGGCATCCCAAGCGCTGCAGCGCCCATCGCAGCAGCGGCCTGGCCGCCGCCCCCACCACTCGGCGACAGAGGCTGTGCTGGTCTGTTCTGTTGTGAGGCTCCAGTGGCGCCCTCCGCCTGCGCATTCCGCGCCAGCCGCTTGGCCATACGCTCCGACTTGATTTGCGAAAGATCGATGCCGCCAGGCGTGTAGGTGAAGGGCTTCTTGTCTTTTGTCATCATCGCGTTCTGTACGCAGGCAGGCGCCTCATACCCACCTCCAGCGCCGCGTTGTCCATAGCTAAACAGAGCGTGAAGAAAGAAAGAAAAAAATAAAGAAAAGAGAGAGGTGGCATTAAAATCTGACCAATAATATAATTAGCATATTGTTCATGTCAGTTGGCACATAATGCTTTTATTTTCACCTGCACCCCGCGAGCTATTTGTCCTATTTGTTTCGCTATTTATCATAATTTTTGCTAAATCTTTTCGTAATTGATTGTTCAGCTGTGGCGCTCATTACTCGATCGATATAAGAGACTCTTCAGCTCTTTCTTCTTGATTAATGAGTCGCACCTGGACAGTTCAATGAACACAGCTTTTTTTTGAAGCGAAAGTGATCCAAAGTTGAACGGAAACTGGCATCGAAGCCATCGACTCAAGGGCTTAACGGTGCAAAGAAATAATAAGTGGTTGAAAGTGAAATGCTAGGGGCAGCACTTTTTTCTAATTGCTTACATTAATAAGCTAAATAGCAACATAAAAGAGATACTTACAACTATGAGACCAATAGCCTGAGGAAAAAATAATTTAACATATTTCCTGCATTCTTTTCTAAAAGACTGCTTTTTTATATTCACGCAAGAATGTATATAGTCTATAGAGACAGCATTTTAAATACGCAATAGTAATGGATTATTACGTACCTATGTATGTATATACTCGTACGTAAATACTTTTCAAACACTCACATTTCCATTACTTGCTATATGAGCAATTATAGGAAGCTGGACATATGCGCGTAACTAACAATTTCCTAGGCTTGTCGGGCTTTAATAATTTTTCATAAGCACACCCATATTTGGTCGCGAGCTATTAACAATCGAAATAGAAAGACAAAAGCAAAAAACCTAACAGTTAGTAAGTTGTGCAAATTTAATTTCCTAGCTGTCGCCATAAAGCGCAACTTGAACGATCCATAAACGTGGCCAGTGTCAGTGTCAACGCACTGCATCGCCAATGGGAGAAATACACACTACGTACGAGTACTTACATACTATGTACTACTATAAATAGTAGAGTTAACAAAACACAAAGGCCAAACTCACTGAACGGCATTTTGGCACGCCTTGTTTTTGTGCGGGAACAATTATGGCTAGTCAGGCGCACTAACTTTTGCTCATCCATAATCCGGGCGATTTATGGAAAGTACAACACAACTCACGATATGTCGGCAAAACGCAGATGAACTTTTACGGCATAGTTTGGCTGTAGTTTGGCAATGCAACATGTCAATGCCATTTCTTCAATTGGCCATAACCGAAAAGTGGTCGCAATATAGCGAAAGACAAAAAAAAAAAACACATAAAAATGGCAGAAGTATTTAATTTATAACTGACTTACTTATATAAGAATTTTTGGATCAACAAAAAATGTATCAGAACAATGTCTTAACAATGACAATTGCAGCAAAATACTTGTAGTAGACAATCGGATTGATTTATAAAATAGAAATATTTAATATAAACGCCATCATTTAATATATAAATCAGATCAGAATTTAATCAATTAAATCGTTATTCGATCATATAACAAAAAACTAGATGGAATGGATCAATTTATTCAATAGCAGAATTGATCACTGAACTCGATCATTTAATATAAATCAGATCCAAATTTGTGGTGCAACAAAAAATATATCAGAATAGTGTCTTAACAAGGGTAATTACCGCAGCCAATCGGACAGCAGAAAACCAGAACACAATCCTAGATTGAATCGTTATTCGATGATGGAATGAATACGATTTATCAAATAGCACCATTTAGTATAAACGCGAGCATTTAATATGTATACAAATCAGCTCAGAATTTGGACAACAACAAAATGTATCAGAACAATGTCTTAACAAGGATAATTACCGCAGAATATTAGCCAATCGGACAGCAGACAACTAGGACACAATTCCAGATTAAATCGATTATTTTGGCAGAAAAAAAAAAAAAAACAAAGTCCATACAGCCCTCTAAACAGCATAACATTTGTTATCTGTGTACAGGTATCTCTTTTATGGGCACAATTAACGCAGTTAACACTTTTTACTGTCGTTTTGCGGCAATTACGTCATCGCTTTGCATTTGACTTTGATGCATACGCTCCAATTTGCATTTAAAGTGGTCGGTTGTGGGTGAGCGGCAGTTTTGCAATAAGTAGTCTAAGCCGTCTGTGGCCGACGTTTTGCCTTCGCATTTGCGGTTAATCGAGCAGCTCGTCTTGCCATACTCGTTGTATGCATTTTTTTTATAATTTTTTGAAAAGCTTAGCACTTTTGCTTAAACGGCTGCCAGGTATTCACATTCACATCCACATCCACAGCACACAACAACGAACTTCGAGCACCTGTTCCTGTTCGCCTGACCCACTTTGGCATGGCCAGACACATTAACTTGTTAAAAGCGAATCATTCACGCACTCGTTTACACTCGTCATATACTCGTATAGATGTGTGTGCGTGTGTGTGTTTTTGTATACAAACAGACGTATATGATGAGTCTTCAGGCATTTGGCAACTAATGAAGGTGATGGACAGGCAGCAGAGGTAGCCAACAGGCTCGACAACTTTTCAGAACATGCCTGTTCATCACTTTCTTTCAGCATAACTGGCTTATGTATTGGGCCTATGTCGAGCCATGTCTTCGATGTCCAGTTTTAATTAGCCATATGACAACGATAAATGCATTTAAATTAAGCGAGTTATGTGGAGAAAAGAGACAGGCGCGCAATTTTGGCTTCTCCGCCGCTTCTCGGTTCTGCTAAGAAAGTCAGCGGGCATTCGCAATTATGCACATAAAAATCAGACATTAGACATTACTGCTATGTTTACAAATCATAAATGAAATTACATTTATTTAAGAAGCAGATTTCAAGCTCTCGGATGTGTAGTTGGGGTATGTTTAATCAAGAAGCTCGAAAAGAGACCTCATACTGCCGTATGACTAAAGCATACGAATCTGTTTAATAGCTGTATTATTATCCTTTTAAGATTGCCGCATCTCCGGGTAATTCCAACCATACGGTCCGTTAAAATTTAAATAATATTAATATATTCGCTGTAGTAGCTAGGCTTTTAAAATAGCACTCAAAATCAGATGTCAGATACAAAAATATTTCCAATCCCTGTAGATGTTAAAACTTTTGCCCGAACAATTTAAGCAAGTGCTACACATAATCTAGAAGCTAAAGCAAAACTACTGCTTTTTACAAATAAGTGTGAACTATGATTGATTTTACTTGTATATTTGTTTCCTATCTGAAAAACGAACTTGCTCTACATAACATACTAATACTACTGTATCTTTTAATAAAAGAAGAATAACTCTAAATTTTGCTCACACATTTTTAAAACAAAGCACCTACAAATATTAAAATATTATAGAGAATTCATCTGCATGATCCAACAATTTAAAAGCTCATTATTTCTTCCAAATGGAATGTGCTAAGAAACAATGATAAATGTATGCATACTTGTATATGCATTTTTGTTGTTCAGCGGCAATCAATTTGTTTTAATTTTTTGTGTCTGGGTCTAAGCAGAAATAAGCAGAGATTTCTATCGTTGGTCCATTATCATCACCATTTTATTTATTATGCCACTGGCGTTTGGATCTTACTGCCAAATACGCGTCACATTAAATTTAATGCCAAACACATGGCTAAAAGGAACAGCACGCACACTCTAAGTTGTCAATTGTTGCCAATTTGCCAAAAAAGAAAAAGAAAATCTTTTTGCCACAAAATGGCAAATGTAATACCAAAGAGGAGGCGTTGATGTCCAATGACGTCAATTTTTGGCGTCACTAAAAAAATTAAGCATTCAGGCACTTGGAAGATTAGATTGCTGCTGCATTTGCATTGGGGCCAACATAAATAAATGGGTAGTTTTGTATATATATATATATATATATATATGTATGTGTATATACAGACAGACCACCAGCTGTTTTGACAGTCAATGCAATTAAGCTGTCAAGCTTATTGGCCTTGGCAAGCGAAGCAGGAAAAGCCTGCAAAGTGCAGCCATATTTGTTGAAAAGTGTAAAATATGCACATGGTATTTGAATCTCAACTCATTATCATTGTAATTGCAAGAAAGTAGCAGCAAGCCAAACGTAACGCTAAAAATTCCAAAATTGTTGAAAATAAACAATCCGTTTAAATTTTTAAAACGTTCCAATTATTTAAAAAAAATTTCTTTCGTTCAACTCTGTTGGACTTAAAAAGAATCTATAAAATAATTTAAATCAATTTTTACAAAACAAAGTAGTTCACAAATATAAAATACTGCTTTTTAAACATTAAACGTTATACATTTTGTGTTGCGTTCGCTTCGAAAAACTGTTATGACTTAGATTTTTTAATTGTTTAAAGTGACATTAGTCTATGATTAGTTGAAAAAATGTCTCTTGCTTAATATAATCTATATACATATTTTTATATCACGTACAAGTATATGTATATTATTAACCATGTATTGTATTAACTTTATGTTTGGTTTGCTTACAAAACAGATGATATGATTGAGTAGAATTAGGGACTTAATTTTCAGCTTTGCATAAAATAAAAAAAATTTTTGCTAAACATGATTTAAGAGAATATTTTTAGAAGTATTAGGAATTAAATAAGTGACAGCTCTTGAAATTTGTAAAGCCTGGCAACTGCAAAAGTTTTGGCATTTAAGCAAAAATGTGGGAGAATTTTAAAATTAATTGACATTGTTAAGCTCTTATTTAAATATGAAGAAATGTGTTCTCCCTTGTCTCATGCATTCGCTTGCTAGAAATCAACAAAAGTTGCAAATTTGAAAAACCAATAATAAATTCAAAGCTTAGATTCCCAACAGTTTTGCTTTAGAAGTTGAGAAACTCTCTCTCTCTCTCTCTCTTTCTCAGTAGCTTCTAATTATGAAACGAATTGCAAATTTGAAAATTTAAAAAAGCTGCTGCTTTAACCTAAAATTAGAACTGAAAAGGCTAACTGTAAAAGCAAACTGTGACTAATTAACCTGCACATTTGACACAATTATTTGTCACATTACTCATGAATCATGCGCAATTTTCAACGACACGCTGACAATTTTATTTTTGCATTTCAGCTAAAAATAAAACTGGCAGAATATTAAAGATACTTGCATATATAGTATGTATATGTAATGCGCGGATACCAACAGTTTTGTATATAAAAATCTGTGCAACTGAGACATCAAGCATAAGCAGCAGCTGCCATTTGTTGCCTGCCACATGAAACATCTGTGCAATTTACATTTTCACTTTTGCATGCAAATGAGCGTGCAAATATCTGGCGAGTACTAGTATTTGCATTGCCGAGACTCGACGGACTGCCTGCTGGAAAACGCGACGTACTCGTATCCAGCAGATACCAAAAAACTTGTTGCCTGCCATTCTAACTCAAGTTGCATGCCACTGCCACTGCCAGAGCCACTGCCGATGCCGATGCCGCTGTTATGCGCTTCGTGCGCGTATTTCAAGATCAAGGGCAATACACAAACACACACACACACACACACACAGACACAACGGCTGCCAAAGTGGCTGAGTGGCCGAGTGGCTGAGCGGCTGAGAGGCTGCCACATGCAACATGACATAATGATAGTCATTGTGGGTATTGTGTCTATAAATAGCTGCAGATGAATGCATGAAGGCGCTGCTGGACTGAAGAAGCTACAGGGTGCTTGCAACTTCATCTACGCCCACATTCCACGATCTGCTTATCGAAAAGCAACTGCGGATTTAACAAAATATTTGTCTAGAAATTCTTTTTAGACAGCGCAAAAAAAATTGCTTATCAACTAACACAAAACAAGCCTTAAACTCAACATAGTATATATAGTATGTACACACATAGCTACAGGTAAACCTTTCTAAGTTGATTGCATCATCCAACAAACTTATTTGGTGGCAGTTCTAAGCTCTAATTCGATGCTGATGTAAGTTTTATTGGAGAAATGCTATGATAAGTAAATTATCTATCTACTTTGAACAATATGTTTATAAATCTTCACAATTTTGTGAACCTAAAATCCCACAAGAAACAAAAACTGCTCAGCCTTGTAGTTAAAAATTTAGTTAAGCAAACATTTTGAAATTAATAAAAGTTGCGAAGTCCTTGGTTCTAGAACTTCTTGTCAAAGTCTAAATCAATAAAACAATAAATGTAGGTAAAGAATGAAACTTTCAATAACAAAGACTTTAGCTTTAAATAGTTTATAATTCATTCCAACATACGCAGCAAGACAAATTAATTTGAATTGATTTCCAATTCCACTCAATTCCAGGTCAAGCATTTATTAAATTTCTTATTTGTGTTTTATTTAAAAAAAAATTATTGAAATGGTGGGAAGCTATACAATGTATACCCTTGTTTTGAGATAAGACTGTAATGCATAGGAAGTGTGTGTAATTTCTTTTCCTTCGCCCACTTACGTCTCTGGATCCATGTGCTGAAATCCACGATCCTCTCGCACCATATAGGCGGGTAGCGTATCAATAATGGCATTCGCCTTATCATTGTACGAGCCCAGTAATTCACGATACTTGGAATAGACGACGCGTTTCAATTGCGGATTCTTGGCAGCAATTGTTGCTGCTGTTGTTGTTGCCGTTGTTGTTGCAGGCTGCGCTTGCAGCGTACTGGTGGCCATTGTATTATGTTTTGTTTCCTTTCTTTTTGTTTTTGCTTAAAGTCGAACTTCAGTTCACTCTTTAGTGCATTTCACGCCAATGTCAACCATAAAACTCAATCAGTTGTGTGCTCATTCGAAACCAATGCCATCAATTTGTGAATTTCAAGGCTCGCAAGACCGCAAAACTGTTACGCCACAAAAAAAAAGGAAACTTTGATGAGTGTGTCTATTGGTTCATTCACAAAATGTAACCCAATCAATGAGCAATACCAAAGCGGCCTAGCCTGCTACAATCGGGATCAACTGAATGGGAATGCAACCTTTAAACCCCTTAAATCTTCTGAATTAGCTCATTAAATTGATTTAAAATTCCTGTTAAATGCTTCGCTTTTATTTGGGAATTATAGCACGGCATGAATTTTCTATATTTTATGCCCCAATGCGGTTCCCAATTTAGCTGATCGTTAGTGTAGAATTTTGTTTTCCTTTGTCACAACAACAAGCGAACCCAATGGAGGCGCTGAGTCAGCGCTAAGCTTCGATCGGCAATATCAAATTCTAAACAGCTGAGCCCAAATCAATATTGAACCTTCGTTGCTGGGCTGTCTACGGTCTGCCGGCAAACTCTGACAATCAGTCTGACTGAGTCATTCGACTAATCATAAGCATCTCATAAACAATATACGAGCAGTATGCCGCCAATGGCGGACGCTGCGGCGACGGAGGCTGTGGCTGTGGCTGCTGCCCAAATGTATAGCAGCTGTTTTATATCTGACGCTCACGCATTTCCAGTATTTTTAGGCATGAGCTAAATTATGTGTAAACAGACAATTTAAACCAAAAGGAACAACAATAACTACAACAAGAAGAAGATGCGCTAAATCGGGCGTCTAAGGTCAATATATAGAGCGCGTGTCTGAATGAGCACAAGGTTTGGAATTGAGGGGATTGAGATAGAAGGGGAATTGAGAGATTGTGAATTCAATTTTAAATTCTGATAATTAGTTGATGGCTTCTAATTCGTTATGACACTATCACACGCTTGTCACACGCGCAGATACACCAGAAGTATCTTGAAGATACGAACCGAATACGCTTGTAACTTTGCGACTGCACGCAACAACGACTCGACGCGTTTTGAAGCTAAGTTTGTTGCGCAAAGCGCTCGACAGCGCCAGAAAATCGTAGTCGCGACAACAATCGTCGGCAATCCGCAGTCCGCAGTCGGCAGTCGGCAGTCGTCGGCAGCAACTTGTTGCAGATACATTTTTTGCTGGCGGTTTTTGTTGTGTTTGGCTTTTGCTTTGGTGTTGGTATTGGTTTGTGGTGCAGCAGCCAGCAGCCAGCATCATCGTCGACATGTGCCGCAAAAGGAAAACTGGCCAAATGACAAACGTTTCGCTGGCACGCGCAGGCCAACTGCCAACATTGTGGTGTGGTTGGGCCGTCGCGCCATCCAGTGGCATGTTAAGACAAAATGTAGCTACAAGATACACGAATCGCAGCCTGGACAGCCGCCTGGTCGCAGAACAATTTATATGTCTGTCAAATGAAGTTTGGCCAGTTGTGGGGCCAGTGGAAATCAAACGCAGCGACAAATTTTCCTAAACGCCAAACGCCTGCCTTTCGACTCTGTGTCTACCCATATGTGTGGCTGCCGTATCTGCCGTGTGTATCTGTATTTGTATCTTCTGCTGTGTATCTCTCTGCACTGCTGTATGATTATTTGTGTATCTGTATTATGTGTTATCGTGCGCCTAATTGTTTTCACTCGCTTGTCATGTCGTCTGCTTATTACTTTTCTAGCTGTTTATAATTAAAAGCAACGTTTATCTGCTCGCTGATTTGTTTTGTTTTCCCTTCTTTTTGTTTTCCTAAACTGCGCCTCTTTTTGGCAACAGTTCGAAGAACTTGTCGACGCTTTATCAATTCGCGTGTATGTGTGTGTGTGCGTGTGTTCGTTTGTGGGCTGTCTTCGGTTTACATTGAAATGGCAGCAACAAGCTGCGGAAATACAATGTGTAGCACAACATTAAAGATACACACACACACACCTTTTATAAAGATACTTATGTATCCGTTATGTGATAGTGGCAAAAGTGTTATCTCTTATAAGCTAAGTTATAAAAAATAAACGCTGAAATGGAATTGGAAAGTGTTAAATAACTTTCAAGATATAAAGATAACGCAACAGGGGAGTGCCGAGATGTTTACATTTTAACGCACATGCTTTGTTTTGAAATGAAGTCTTCAGAATGACAGCCGTTTCTAAATATTTGCAGTTCATCATTTTTAAGCTTGCTCGATTTTTGCGCAAAGTATTAATATTGATCTTAAAATAAAACGAGGGCATTTTAATAACGTAAAGGTCACACAATTTCATGAAACTCTAGAGATATTTTTAATTAAAACCAATTCCTACATTATAATGTTTCCCTTTTCATTGCAATTTTATATTTTTTATATCAAATATTAATATCGATCAAAGGTCAAACAATTTCATGAAACTTTGGATATTTTAAATTTAAGCAACTCCTATATTTTTAATTTTCTCTTTTATAATTTTAATTAAAATATTGCTCAATTGATTCCCTGAACTGCTTTTAAATATCCATTCAATTTGATTTTGAAAATTATTCTCTACCCAAGTAAAAATGTTTGACAATATTTCAACATTTTTACATTATTAGAAATAATCAACAATAATTCAGTAAGCAAGCTGAATTTTATTTAATCTGTCTTTTAGACTTGCTTTAAGTTATTGGAACCAAACTGCTGAAGTTACATTTTCGTAAATGAGGGCATTATGGCATTCAAGGAGACAATTTGAATTGTATTATATTTATTAAAAAAGTGCGAAAAATGAGAGCCTGGACTGGTGCGCCACATGACTCATTCGCAACCCACTTAGCCGGACATTTGACAGCTGGTCACCCAAAAAACCACACAAAAAATACGTACATACGAGTAAATATGTGAGAATTCTGTTGACGCACACTTGAAATTTGAGTGCCTGTCAATAATTTTATGTTTTTCAAATGAATGAACGAATAAACCAAAACCATCGCACAGCTGTCAGAAAATGGTACCAAATTGTTTTTCATTCAATATTATGTTGACGCGCCAGAAAGTGGGTCAAAAGCAATGCCAGCCAGACAATCAGCCGGCTAGTCTAACAGGCAGAAATACTCTCGACAATCAATCAACAAGGGCCAGCTAATTAGGCCGCTCATTTGGACCCTAAAAACAAAACAAAAAACTTCAAAGTCCCGTGGAAGCGGATGAAAAAAATCTTTGGGAAATCGTTTAATGATGTGTTGAATGTTTTTTATTTTGCCTTTTTCACCCCACAAGCAATTCAATTATATTCTTCTGGCTATTTACTTGCCCCATTTCATGTTGGCTGCTGGGCATTCTTGAAAATGTTTTGATTGTCTGTCCAAAGATTTGTTATGCAGTTTAAGTTTAATGCATTCGTCGCTCATCTGGCGGCATAGTTTGTGTTCAACATCAGTAGATTGGTTATAAAGCTGTCAGTCGAAATTATAAGTAGCTGCCTGAAACATTACTTTAGCCAGATATGTTATTGAAAAGAAAGCGTGAGAATGTTTTGATACTTTATTGGGAATGCAAATGTAAATCAAAATAGAAATAGACACAAGAAGTTGAATTTTTAGTGTTAATTAGAAATTAAATTAAATGAATTTTCCGAGTTGCTAAAACTAACCAATATAGTATAATACTTAAAACACAATTTGTAAATAAATTGTGTTTTACCAGCGGCTCCCAAACCTACACACAGTGTCACCACAACTGTAACGCCATTGAGTCTGCCATAAAATAGAACAATTTATAAAAAGAATTCATAAACATACAAGCATTAATATATACGTATGTTTAAGTATATTAATACATATGTTTAAGTATATAAAAAATAGGAGGAAATTTATTCGGCATTTAAATATAACTTAACGTAAAAGTTAATGCAGGAAAACGCTATTCAGGCTAACACTATGAATAATAAAAAACGCAAAACAGTTTCAAATGCCACGAGCATGTGTTAAATTATAAGACTTTTTATTATTTGCTTCTTCTTGTCTCATCAACACTTTCTGCTTTTGTTGTTTGTGTAATTTGTATAAATAATAGGCCGTTAAATGAGCTGATGCTGGTGACCTTGAAAACGTTTTAAAATAAAACATAAAAGGTGTGCTTATTAGGGCGCCATTGTACTACTTGGTTGTGAACTTGTGGCGGACACCATTTATTATATTTTGCGCTTTCTACGACTCTGTCCGGGTGGACAGGTGTGCAACTGAGACTCGTTGCAAGTTGCATTTGTCATTTGTTGCCTTCGCGCTGATTGCATGACAAGCGCGCATCAGAGACGAGGGATCCTGCCTCCCAGCGAGGCTTTGGAAGCAGCCAGCATGGCCGGCAAACGAAATCGAAATCATAATTATTTATATTAATCTGTCGGGTCACCAGCGGCGTCGTCGTAGTCGTCTTGCTGGCTTGCTTAAGTGAAAGTAAAAGCAGCGCCCGTTGCACAATGCAATGCAATAACAACTTTGGTTACTTCGACTGCAGCGTCGGTGGCAATATTTCTTCTTCAGTCGCGCGCACTCGATACGTAATTTTTATAAATTTTCCAGCCACATGTGGTCGCTCGTCATGGATGGTCAAAAAAAATAATAAAATAAAACAGGCAAGGCAGCTGGGCAAGTTGTTAGCATTTTGTTGTTCATTTCAATTTCAACTTGTAAACAATTTATTTTTGATTTTGTATGCTTTGATTTGATATATTGCGGCACTATTGATTTAGCCGGGTGAAAAATTGGGCAACCAAAAATTTTTAGGAATAAATGATGAGTGAAATTTTCTCTCTCTAGCATTTCAATTTCAATGCAAATTTCCAAGTACAGTAAAATAAGAAATAGTTTGGGTGATTGCATACAGTTTTTAAAGCATTGGCTTTTTATGCTGAGCGAATAATTTAAAACTTTGTTTATTTGTAATATTTATTACAAAAGAACAAACAAATATAATTTCTTGTAAATACATTTAAAAAAATAAGAAACGTAATCTTTTTGTGTCTAGACTATTCTTAATTTTTCTAATTTATTCATAATTAGTTATTATTTTGCAAAACTAAATTTACTTATTAAAATTTTAAA